CAAATTTAACTCAAAATACTTTAAAATATTCTTACTCTATAACCATCATCATGTGTCAGCTCTCCTAATACATTTATGTTAACTGAATACAAAAGAAACGTGAAATAAATATAACCAGGAGGGATGATCAAATCTAATTTTGATACATTAGTGTCATATGCTGTACATGTTACAATAGCAGCCAGACTTTAAACTAAGCTGCAGGCTATACTGAAATTTCCAAATGGCAGATTGTTCTAAGTGATACCAAGTATAATTGAAGTAATAAACGATAGTAAAAGCAAAGCACACTGTCAGGAAGAATTTAAGTATTTACTTTTTAAAATTAAATGAGTTAGGTTTGGAAAGGCAAGACAAGTGAAATAATGCAGGGCTCAATTTACTGAAAATTCCTTTTATTTATCTGTTACATTAACCCTTGAACTCTTGCCAAAATTACTGTAATTTCTAATACCCACTTACCTAAAGGAGGCAGAAAAAAGCTATTATATTTTCTTCTGATAGAAGAGCTAGCCTCAACTTTTTTCTTCTTCAAAAATTGAAGTGTTTATTACAAAAACAACAAAAGGAGCAAAGATATATGAAATAATGGCTTTATGCAGCTACTTTTGCCCATTTAATGTTAACAGCACTACTGCCTACAGTGCATGCACCTTCTAGATGAATCTTTCACAAAACTTTGTCTCAATAACTATGGTGTGTTAGGGATTTTGTTTGGTTTGGGTTTTTAGCAATATGTGTATCTAACTGTAACTGAAAAAAATACTGTTCTAATAATTCACATCTATAAACCTTCAAGTTCCCAATACATGTTAGCGATACAATAAAAAAAACCATAAGTACTGGGAGCTGTAACGATTTTATGTGGTTATGATCATGTCATGCACAACTCAGAATTGTGTAATTTACCAAAAGCTCAAGATTGATTAGTATTCTAACCACTAATAACACGACTACTTTTTATTTATATACTGTGTGTATAAAATTCTCACTTGCAATGCCTTCACTCCTTTAGGAAGTTTTTCCTAAGGAAGGAGGAACTAGACTGGTGATAGCTCATTTATGTGTCTCTACAACCTTTCTCATTTTGTGAATTGAGTGTTCACATTATTTAGTTCTCATATTCTCTGCAAGCTTGGTCTTGTAAGGTTATTGTAAATACTTTTTACTCTAACCTTTAATTGTAACAAAACCAGAATGGATTGCATTATCAGCATTAGACTTTTAATTTTGTACTTGCAAATTAAATAGTTATTTTATGTATGAATTTCAATCTTAAGTTCCATTACACAATCAGAAGTTTTTCATTGGTTCTTGAATTCATGTCTTTTTTTGCTCTTGTTCATATACTCAGAAACAAATGCTTCAGAGGTATCAAGACACTTAAAAGTTTAATTTACTACTTTCTAAGACTGATGGAAAATCGTTTTTAAAATGGCTTAGCCCCTGAAACAGCAGAATCTTGATTTTACAGTGGCTCAACTGGCAGGAAGAAGTTTTGTTTTAATTTAATTTAGTTTCCATTTATAAGATGAACCTATCATGTACCTCTAGGCACATTTACAATATAAAAACCAGCAGCCATTTGAAGACAACTACTGCAAGTTTGCTTGTTTTTCTCCCATTGAATAAAACAGACAAAAATCCCATGAAAGACCTGTAGAGAAGCTCCAATTCCAAGTTTCTCTGAAGGTCACAAACAGTCCATGTTAGCACTTACATGGCTCTCAAATAATTTTGATAGTGTGTGTGAGCTGATTTCATAAAACACAATCCTTTTGCTGGTATGTTCAGTCCAAGCACCATAAATAGTTGCAGAAATAGTAAATGAATTAAGACTGTTTTCCTACTCCTGTCTCTTGGTAACACTTGCTGATTTATCCCAAGATGTAAACTTCAGCTGATGTTTCTTTCAAGTTTAGGATGAATTTCTTAACATCTCTCTTTGCTGCTGGGTCCTTGATATCTAATACTTCTTCCCACAAAGTCTTTACTTGCTAAGTGGGAGCACTAAAAGTCTTACTACTCTATCTCCTTTAGTTAACATATCACCATTAAACATACACAAAATGAACAGCTTTTAAACATTATTAGATTTGATTGGAATGGACCAAAAACTGTTAGGGAAAGGGAGAAGAAACAGAAATGGAGGCTCACAAGCCTCTGTTCTTGGGAAAATATGCTGAAAAAAACAAAATCAACACACTGAGGAAGAACAGAAAAGAAACCCACAGAGAAATAAAGTAGCTTGATTTAACAGTCAACAGTATCTGAGCCACAAATACAATCTCAATCTATTGATACACTCCACATATCCATACAGACTTCAAATATTCCAAATCACTGATGAGTGAGACTGTTGGTAAAGTAGGAGAGAAACAGGTTTGGAGCAAGCTGGAATTGTGAAGAAGCCCAGCTGACACAATTTTCACAAGTTGAGTCACAGGAAGGCTGGACCAGCCCTGAACCTTGCCTGGCGAGAACAGCTCTATGTAGATGGAGGGTGCTCTGGGGTGGTGTATCCCTCTCTGCCCCCGTGGCCTTAGAAAAGCTTGTTAGGCCTTGGCCTTGAAAAACAGCACATGGGCTAAGCTCCTCTTTGGTGTATCAGAAACACTGCCTGGTCCCAGGAGCTTGTGCTATCTAATGAGCTCCTGTTTTTTAATGAACAACCTTGGAAGGTTCTTTTTCTTGCACGGATAACAGTCCAAGCAGAACTGGTAATCGAAGTTGTAATCAAACTATCAAAGAAAGTTACCAACCCCAACTGTGGATAGAAAGGAAAATTCCTGTGCCTAATTCAACTCCCTTGCAGCCCTACAAACAGTGGTTGGAAGTGAGACCCTTTGAGCTCTCCCAGCTGCAGCCAGCAATCTCCGAGTGGGACACCCTGCAGAGGCAGCAAACTCTCAAGGACTGCTGCCAAATGCCACCAATGGAGCCTGGGCTGATACTCCTGCTGCTCAAGGACCAACCCCTTCACTTGATGAGAAGATGCAAACGCATCTGATGTGAGTGGTTCACTGAACTCAAGGAGAATTTTTTACAAGGCATATACCTCATACATACTCCTTTAGATCTGTGGGCATGCAAGTGTAAATGTGCCACAACAACTGTACTATGAATGTTGCCCTCAGATTAAGTACTTTATATGTCTAAGTAAGTTAGGCCTACAGGTGAGCTCTCTTGTGCTATAGTAAATTCTATAGAACCTTTTGTTAAATTGTTTAAATTAAGCTATCGATGTTAAGTGCTGTTAAGTTTACACGCTGGAAAAAGCTTTAAGCCTAGACTGTTGCTCAACTCTGGGGCTGAGTTTGGCAAGGGGATCCACTCTGAACCTTGTGACTCACTGGGACGATCTTCCTCATTGCTTTTTATCCTTACCCTTTCCCATCCTTACCCTTTTTTCATCCCTGCCTCCCCACAGACCATACCTGGTTGATTTTAGACTGATTGATTGATTTTATATTTTAGTCTGACTTTTCTCTGTGTGCTTTAAGCATCCATCAGCAGTAGACTGAACCCTGCCAATGAACAGTGTCCCACTTTTATTTGAATATTACACCTGCTTTTGCCAATGCCTTTGCTGGTCATTCTTTGAGCTACCTAAAACACTCCTTCCTGACATGCTCCTGGAAACAGAAATGAGATCTTGCCTCTGTGTTCAGCTGAAGTCCACGGCATTTTCAAATTATTCACTATTAATTAATTTTCATTATTAAGTATTTTTGACCCATCTTCCCCCTTTTCACCACTTTGTAATGATCTAATTCAAACAGATTATAAACAAACATTGTAAGGTTAATTACAAGCTGTGTTTTATAAAACCAGGTTTATGTTTAAAAAATAAAGAAGCCAGTCAACTTAAACAGACTCCCCCCCACATTGTTCTATACTAAAACAGTAGCAACAGTAGCAATTTTAAAATGAGTTATTTTTGCTATTAATCACTTCTATAAATCATTTAACAACCTTAGTATTACCCTGACTCTACTTTAGGAAATAAAGAACAGAAAGGATGCAGCATAATAGGCACACAAGCAAAAGCATTTTTAATTAAAAAATCCCACCAAACCAACCTGAGATGGAACAGTGAGAAGTTAGATTTCATAGTTAGTCTATAATAAGAACAATAATATTTTTTCTTCAAGTTGAACACAAAGAAAAAGAAGTCATTAATAATTGAAGCTTGCCAGAGGCATGGCTATTTCTCTCTTTACTAACTGTCTCTCATCTAATTTAATTACAAGTATTAAAGTCCATGCTGAGGTCAACCAGCTTCAGTTCCTCCAATATTACACTTCAACCAGTGCTCATTAACGTGTCTAGTGAATGGATTAGCACATCTGAAGATGTATGTATGCAGGATGGGGGGACAGTCTGAGGATAGCTAATTGTTCATTTATAGTAGGACACATGTTCAAGACTGTAACTTATTATCACTAATGCGGAATTTATTAAATTCTAAAGAAAAAAAATACCAATACAGAAAAACATTTTTTTCTTAATGCAGCTATAAGAGATTATATCGCTGTTGAGAACCTGTGCCTCCCCCAGGACAATACACCTTAGATAAAATAAACAACGTTTTCATATTTTTAACTTTTTTTTTTAAAGGGAAAATTATGTTAATAACCTGCACATGACCCTTACCTGAATAAAAAGTCATCTCAGAAAGCACTCACCACACATTTCTTAATTGGCATCTAAGGTTTCAAAAGTACTAAGATATCATTCAGATGTAATATTTTTTCTTCTGCACCATTACTTTCCTGCACTTTTCATATGCTCTTGCCAACAATTCCAATGATCGGAAAAATCACCAGTATGGAAAAATTAGAAATTGGCAGAGAATATACCAACTTAGCAGGTAAAGATGTTATATTTTATGGTGTTTTGTTGTTTTGTTGGATTTTTTAAAAAAGTTATTGGATTTTATTTGACTCTAATTTCTCTAGGTTTATTATAAAGAGAACAGTTTATTCAGAAACACCTACCTTTTTTGTTAAAGAGTCATCTGAATCAGAAGGCATTCTTGTTGACACATGGAACATGACTTCCACTGTTGAGGTAGCAAAATATGGAGTGGTCAATCCAGTGCTTTTGTTTTTTTGCAGTCCTCCCATAAAGCCACAATGGTTTGTGAGATTTACCTAGAAATAAAGACCAGGAAACTTTACCCCAAAAAAATTATCAGGTCATGAATACACTCTTTTACTTTTAAATGCACTTTTAACAGAACTTTAAAAGTGAAGATCCTTTTCCCAAAAGTATAGTTACACTTGGTTTCTAAAAGAGCTCAGACTAGACTGGAAATCAACTGCAGTGCAGCAGTATTCTATATTCCACAGTCACCACAAAAGCTACTGGAAAGATGAGGTTAGAAGAAAGGAAAGATTGTGTAACTAATATTTACTGCATTATTCCCTGATCATTTGAGAGTAGTCACTTACATGTGCTTTCTCAATTTTTTAAAATTCTCTGATACAACATCAACCTTGACCTGAGCTCTGAAAAAACTCTGTGTAGCAGCCAGGGAATTTATTACCTTCCATACATTTTTTAAAGAATTTTTTATTCTGTGAATATTAAAAAAAAATTCACAGGAAACTAACTGATAATTTGTAAATAAGCTTTTAAGTCTTAGATCAATGGGAAATAGTCTGACACTGAAATAACTAAGCACGTTAAATGTGCTGCTTTGCCTTTAAAACAGTAACTACAAAATGGTGTTTTTCAGATGTAAATACATTTAATCTCTGCCTGCATGGGATATGTTTGTTTTCTTGATAGTAAAGGATGCAGAATTTAATGTTAAAATATTAGTTTTCTCATTATGGACTATTAATCCAAACTAGCAACTCTTTAAACTAGCAACTCTTTAAACTAGCTAATGCTGCCTAAGAGAATTAAACCACTAAAGAAGGATATTTTATGGCACTAGTGTTGTTTTTTTTTCTCCTGAATGTGGGAAATAAACATCTATGTTCATGAAAGTCAGCAGACTTGTAGCTGTTTTCCTCTGTTCCTATGGGAAAGTCAGAGTCATTATCCACACAGTTAATCTGGTAGTGTCCTTTTATACCTAAGGAGTAAAGAAATACAAAGGACAAATAAGATTGACACTCAGGTGGACACTCCTGATGAGCACAAGTTGCAAGAGGAGCCAAAAACCTGCAGCTTCCTATACAGCCAACCAGGACCAAAGCCATTCCTGTATTCTGTGCAACAGTGCCAAATGGAACTTTACAGTGGCAATTAATCCTGTGCATCTGAAAGAAAGATGGAAAAAAGGAAATCCTTATGACAGTATTGAACAAGTGACTAAAGAGCTGCAGGCCCACATAGATGATGGGGTAGATCACAATATTTCTGAGTGCTGGAAGAGAAGTAGAGTGGAGTGTGTGAACTGACACATGCCTGCAGTGGAAGGCAGGAAGAAGAGAGTATGTGAGAAGCTGCTTGTCTGTACTTTTTGAAGTTCCCAATTAGAGCAACTCAAACTTCACTTTACAAGCTTACAGGGAAATCAAGATGCCTCCTAATGAGTCCATGAAACCAAGTACAGGACTGCACATTAAAGAATTATCTTCGCCTGCACAGACTCTCTTCAGTTGCTGAGAGCTTGAATTTTAATGGCTAGTAATGCTAATGAAACTAAACCAGGAATTCTTCTCTAAATCCCATTTTTAAACCGGTGTATCTCAGCACTTGTGAGAAATGCTGAAGAGCCAAAGACTTGTAATATATCAAGATATTGGTAATTGTCTTTGTAAAAACACCTAGGATAAAAACATTGAATAAATACCTCCCAGCCAAGACCAGCTACAAAATCCTCATAGGCTTGACTTCCCCCAGTATTCGTAAGAATGGAGTGTTTATCTTCCTGTCCCTCAGCAACATAAAACACTGCAATCTTGTGTGTCTCTCGGCTGTAAAACAGAATGGTCAATGCATGACAGTGCCTTAATCAATATGAAATGAAAATATGCAAACAATACACACAGAGCATGGCTTTTAAAGCATAAAAAATGCATAGTGGAAATACAATAGAATTATATGGCTCTTTTTGGATATTTCCTATATTTCCATTTCCTCATTCTGTCCTTTCTAGTGTCATCTTCTCTAGAGCCTGAAGTTTTGCTATACATGAGCAGCATTTACCCCTTCCATCACTTCTAAGCTGCAGGGTGGTGCTGCCTGTACCAACTACTAATTGAATAGGTGGGTTTTTGACATGGGCAAAACCTGTAATGTGGGCATTATTCGCACTGCACTGCCCATTAACAACAGCACCCTCTGAACATTGTGAAAATGCAGCTTGTCCAACTGAATGAAGCATTTTTACATATTTTTTAAAGATCATAATCATTTAACTGTCTTCTGTTGACAGGTTATTGTTAGACATTGGAACAAATGGAGATGGCTTCTCACACTTCTACAACTTCCACTAGGTTTTGTCTCAACTTCTACCAAAATAAGTCAGTTTTCAATTCTGTGCTACAATTCTAACTAAAACTCCGTGCCTTCAAATACTGGGACCATTTGAAACAGCTAAACAATCAACCAAAAGTTTAAATGAGAAGGCTTTGATATATCAAAGTTTTAAAAGATTTAAATGTTATGCATACACAAATGCTTATAAGGTGTTTTGAAATTTGTTTATCTCATGATATTTTACGTGCAGAATTTGACCCTACAAATAAAATTGATGCAACTTCAGTATAACAGAAAAAACTACAGTACTATGCAAAATACATTAATAATTTAAAAATCTATTAAAAAAATTAGCTCAACTCTCACATCTATGCAATTAGAGCCATTTGAGTAAAAGCACACTTAGAACAAGTAAGTAGGCAGTCATTAAAAGAATTTACCATTGTCTTGAGTCCAAATTTCTGAGTTCTCGAAGTAACTTCTCATTTTTCTTCAGGAGATGAAAGCTCCTTCTAAATAGAGAAATTTGTAACTCTTTTATTACCTCTTCACTGACGGATACAGAACAGTACAACAATGGTACAACAACATATCCAGGTCAACTCAGGAACAGTCAACAAATGCTTCTGCCTTTTCAACAGTCCTTTCTTAACATATGAAAATCAAGACATCTTAAAAAAATATACAAGCAATTTTTCTTACTCCAGCAAATCTTCTACATTCATTACAACCCTGAGTATAACCTTTATTTCTTTCTACTTTCTTCTGTCAACCCCTTGAATCTGACTGTGTGACCCATTTCTTCTCTACAGAAGAACCATAAAATACATGTTTACTGACAAAAGACACTCCCATTAGTCTACTGTTGTAAGGAGTGGGTGCATTCAACACAGAACTTTTGCTACCCTGAACTGCAGAGCAGAATTTAGCTCAGTAATCACCCAGCCAGCTGCAACAATTTAAACAAAAAACGAAACCAATATGTTAGAGAAAGAAAGGCAGTTTTCATGTCTTTTCAACTGTGCTTAAGATGTTTCCCACAAAACACTGTGGAATTAAGAGCAGTCCTGTTCAAAACCAGACTGCCTTGAGGAATTAAAGACCCAAATAAGAAGGGCTGTAATACCAACATTTTGTCTGATTCCAGTGCTACCTCAGTGACACAGATTATTTTTGTTCTACTGAATATCCATTTCCCTTCATAGTAGGAAAATACATCAATGATTCTAATATGAAATTTGAAAGCACTGGCAGAAGAAGATTTCAGAAAGACCCATAAATTCTAGGACACTAATATTTGTAATATTTGTACATACCCCCATGTATATGCAGACATGCACTTAACCACACCCACACAAAAATAATAATGTTAAGAGACATTACTTCTGTAATTGAACATGGTTCTCTCCTGTTCTAAACAATATTCAAACAGTACTCAAGCACAGCCAGTGTTGAAATAAATAGTAGGGGACACATCTTTCTCATTAGCTAATACACATGCAAGGCTTTGAGGCTGCATGCAAGCATGCTTTTAGCAGACAAAGCAGCAGGACACTGTCCAGCGACACAATAGCTGAGAATATGACACTTTCTGAATATTATTCTGACATTGAAAGGCAATGATTTTTGCAGCAACATACATGGGAAGCAAAGAGAATACAAGATGCCTTCAATTTGACTTACAACACTTTCTAAGGAAAGACTATGAATCACAATAAACACAACAGATACCTCCTTTCTGTCTCTCTAAATGACAGGCTGAAAAGCAGAAGAAAGCTGCCATTTAGGTCTTAGATGCACATCCCCTCTCTTTTGCTAGCTGGCCTGTAATATTTTTGGCTTAACAAACTCTATTATGAAGGTAAGAACAGCACAGTTCCTTAAAAAAAGTTCTTAAAATACGAGTAGTTTTACCTTTTATCCCATGAATTCATTCCTAGTATACTGAGAAGTAATCTACAGTAGTAAAATGCTGACTGTGGCTTTTGTGAGGTTGGCTCGTCCTGCTCCATAGCCCTCATATTTACATCATTGAAATGCTTTTCAACGAACTCTCTCTCTTCTGTGTGCTGTTTCAGAATTGCATTGATGACATCGTTCTCCTGCTTTTCTGAGATGCAGACTGGTTGAGGAGCAGGGATGTTGAGTGAAACACCAGTTCTCTGTAAGCATTCAGGGCTTGTAACACCTAAATACTGCAGCAGCTCATCAAGAGCATCTTCTTCGTCCCTAATTGTATCCCATGTTGGTACAGTGTCTCTAAATTTCCTTTTAACTTGGAGTGTAATTCCATCTCTTGCAGATACATCCTCCACATGCTCAAAAGATGAAAGAGCATCTTCTGGTTTATCTTGCTGAGATAATGAAAGTGCAAAAGATGTTTGTTGTGAAGATCCACATAAAGATGATGGTCCATACAAAATGGCCGAATCCCACGAATATTTGCCAGACAGATCACGCACTATAATTCTAACATTTGAATTAGCTGATGCAAGTCCAGCAGACAGTCCTCCCCCAGGCATGTCGTCTTCTGCTTGGATTTGTATGCAAGACACCAGGGAAGTATTGTTTAATACAAAGAATTGAAGATTTGGGTTCTCAAAAAGCTCAGGAGAAAGCTCGGGACTTTCACTGTATGGATTGTCATTGTTTTCACACACTTGACTGGTCAGCATGGCAGGACCTCCACTCATAGGATAGTGGCCCAAGTGGTTGACTAGATGTGTTATCACAGTACGAGCAGCCACAGAAATTAACCCTTGTTGCATGTGAGTTTTCACTGCAAGAGAAAGAGCACAGGTTTTAAAAGAGGAGTTCAAAAAACAACACTGAGATTTATGTGTTTCTTTTGGTCTCTTCCTGAGAGAATGAGCCCTGCAAGCTGAGGATGCACGCAGCTCAGTAACAGAAAAATATGTATGTTGGTCACCATTGCTCTTGTATATAAACAGCATGAAAAATCCTAAAACAGTTAAAGAAGCATCTCCATTATTTTACAGCCATGTCTATGTCTACAGATTACACTTCCTTTGCCATACCTTTGTTATCAGCACTGTTCTTCTAAAATACATGATTTCTTATCTAGTGAAAATAAATCTTGAATTGCTATTGAAGTAGAGATCATAACTGTGCTGCAAGATGTCCATTCCAACTGCAGTGTATTTTTATATTTATACACATCATTACACTGAGAAATACAAAGGAAGATAGATGCACAAAAGGTCTAATCCATCTTAATTTCCCTGGGGAGCATATAGCTGTAGGTCAGCTTGAGAATAGCACTGGATAATTTTAAGTACAAAATCAAAGACCAGGCTGTCTATATTGAACATGATCTAACATTATCAAAATTTTTAAAAATGAAATCTCATGCCACAACTGCATTTTAAGAAGTTTCAGGTTAGAAAATCTTGGGAGGGAGAAAGAAAAGTTAATTGTGCCCATCTTATGTGAAATTCATCCTATTACATGCACTGGTATTTCAACATGGTTTTTGCTACCTCCTTTGCTGCATGCCCTTCCACTTGCATGTTATGTCATCTAAATTTTAAAAAAGGTATTTTTAATGTTTATATCACACCCCGCTAACACAGTACTATATTGTTACTAAATAATTCTTATCAAGTCAATACTCTACGTGAACACATGAGCTGGACCAAGTGACTCTTTCAGGCAGAGAACCATCAACTGGTTCAGGGGACCCACTGAAGAACCTATACACAAAAATATTACACTGCAGAATAAAACTGGTGGAAGAGGGAACAAGATCAAAATGGCAAAGTACTTGTTTTCTGTATCCCTTCTCTTGTAACTGGGCATGGATGCCCTTAATTTGGGATTTACAAAGGGAAGATTAAAAATCTGTACTCCTCAGGATTATATAATGTATTTTAAATTACACTGAACATTGAAAACTGCTGCTAACGCTTCCCATCTTCTTTCTCACCAAAATCCATCAAACCAGAATTTTCTGAATGATGTTACTTTTTCATTCAGTATTTACTGAGAATATGGAACCTCTTGGGCATAGAAGTAAAATACAATGAATTCATCTCCCTTTATGTTGGATATTCATAAGCTGCAAAACCTAATGTTTAATAAACAAATTTCTCAGTTTCAGAAGTCTTAATTGATTTAACTGGAAAAATAAAGGCAAATTTGTCATGGGTACTGACATTACAGATCTTCAGTTTCTGAAGATGGATGCATTCAGCAACTGCAAAAATAAACAGGTAGTATGTATTTGCCTTTTTTTTTTTCCTCAAAAGGTTTGGGTACAGCATGTAGGAGATGTCTGGGATTCTGGCTATTCTCTTTCTTTAGGAAGCACTCCATCTGAACTGCAAATAGGGAAACGTTTCATCCAGTTAATAGCTGGCAAAATCAATATAACATTTATACAATTCAAAAACTCATATCTACTCAAGTATTTTAAAAAATTAATGCCTTGAGAATTAATACAAGTAAATTAGAGATATTTTTATCATGTATAGCGTTCTTGAGGTTTAAAATTTACAAATACAAAAACATTCAGTTATGCTGAATTATGTGTCCAGATACTGGCAGCATACAAGGAAATTAAGTTATAGTGCCATCTGCTGAAACATAAGAAGGAACTGGAAGCAGATTTTATAAAAAACAAAGAGAAAATAAGCTGGGTGCTTGGAGAATCATTTACCAGCACATTATTGACTAGCACCTGGACAATGCAGAGGGTGGCCCATCTTTATCAGGATATTTATACCAAGTATTTAGCACTTGCCACTGCAGAGATAAATAAGGTAATACTTTGCTCTGGTTCCCAGGAGCAGAGACACACAGGCTTTCCAGATACCTGAAGTCCCACTCTATAAAGGTTAAATGCCTCCTGTTAAGTTCTGCTGAGAAACCTGAAGAAATAAGGACCTTCTAGCATATGTTATTATTGTTACTGTTGTGTGCCAAACCCTGAAGATCTCAAACTGACCACGGTTGTTTTGTGCCTCTGTGTGTGTCTTAGGAGCCTAAAGGACACATGGGAAAGGAAAGGTGACACAGTGAGACAAAGAGGGGAACAATTAATTTAAATTTGAAAGATCCATCCTCAGTCCTAATACAGCCTTGCCCTGAAAACTTTGCACTTGAATTAAAATCATAGATCTGTCATTGTTTCTTTAATAAAATTTGAACACTACATCTAAGTCTTCTCTCAGAATACAATGCTGCTGATCTAAAAATGACACAGAAAGCTTTAATTAGAAGTATCAAGAGAAGTATACTGAAAAGTAGACTGTAAGATGCAACCTGTTATGTTGAAATAAAATAAAGTAATCTTGAAACATTTTTGCCCCACAGAAAACCTGATTTTGATGATGGCTTCCCCAGGAATAAAAAAAGGAAAAAATCCCAAGCCTAGTAATGCATTTTGATAATATGAAAATTTTAAATTAATTTTGCAACTTAATATATTCCTAGAAGCACATCTCTTCAATCAGGAATAACTGAACATTCAATATATTAAAACCTTAAAATGAGTATCTAAATCATGTTCTTTTTTTCTGGAGGGCAAATGAAAATATGTAATAATGCAAGCCATCACAGCTTTACCACCAATTCTACAAACTAAGCCATATCTTTACACATTAAGGCAGCCAGCTCACTGCTTTGTTGACCTGTCTTCCTGAGAGAACACATTGCTGCTTTCTTCACAATGGTACTGCCTCTGGCTTGGGCAATGTAATTTAAATATGTTCATGATCATTGGGTACTTTACAAGAAATGTTATACTATTTATTTTTCTCAGTCCTGAAATTACCTCTTTTGTGGAAAGGCTGAAGGTCCACCACTACTAATTTGTATCTGTAGCATGAATGAAGGATTCCTTAAGGTGTGCTATTAACTTTTTAATTCAACTTTGGCTGAATAGTTTTAAGCAACTATGGTTATGTAGTAGAAGTAAAAAACAATGACTGAAGGGGGAATTTAACTCTCCTTATAATTTTAGATGTGTCAAGAATGATGACCTGTACAGACTGATTAATCTCAAATTCAATGGGATGAATCACTCTCTAAAAACATTTTTCTTTCATTATATTTAGAGGGAGCCTAAGAGTGTCCCTCTTAGCTTAATTTCCTGTATTTTACCTTAGTTTAAGCAAGTCTCATTCCTTTCTAATTGTTAACTTCAGCTATACAGATATGCAGTAACAGAGAGCCCATCTCTAAAATATTCCTCACAAAACACAAACTGTTGCATCACAAATCCAGATGCACTATATACCAAGTATTTTTTTAAAGTGTGCATTTTGTGTCCTTTCAGTAAAATGGCAAACAGCAAAGCCTTATATGAAAAATACTTTATATTTCTACTTTTTAAACAAAAGCTAAGACTAGACATCAGGCAGGGAAGGCTTTTTCATTAGAAATTTAAAAATATTAGAAAAAAAAGATCAATCTATGCAAAGATTTTAACATATGTTTGGAGAAATATGAATAATGGGGTAAAAATCAATCAAATAAATAACGGGTAGACCACTGTATCTGTGTAAGGTTACTAGAACCTTCCAATCACAACTACCTCTAACAGATTATGCTGTGGCTAAGTATTCACAAAACTTGAGATGGATCTGACCTTGAACAATGGAGGCATAACAGGGTAAGTCAATCACATCCATTAAAGCACCCTGTCTTAAGAATTCTGTCATTTCAGCACTTGCAGCTTTGCCTGTGGCCTAAGGAAAGAGTTTCACAATTCCTACCCTGTTTTTGTAGAACTTCTCGGAATTCCATGTAACTTCTGCCCTGCTCATTTCCATTCCTTCAAGAAAGGTACTATGATAGCCCTTTTACTCTGCTAAAAGATGCTGACCCATTGGCATTCTGTTCTGCTGCTAGCTTGTACTAATTGACCCTTGGTCTTGACAGAGACCCAGGCTGGTTGTTACCCACTAGTTTTACTCCTCTCACTCCTCCAACAATGCCAGGGAGAACAGATGCTGTGCAACCGGTCAAGCACTGCCAATTTTATTCTCTGCCTGGCAATGGGGACTAGAAGTGCCAAGGTTGCAGAACCAGGGTTGCATTATAATGCTGTAGGTCTGCCAATTAAATTTCACAGTCTAACTTACAATTCCAGAGCCCTGAAACTTAATTTATCTGGAGAGATAAAAGGAACATCTGAAATTACTTTTATTAAGAAATTTAACAAGAAATCATAAAAGAAAAGATCATGGTTGGAAATGCAAAATGAAGATATTGATGCTAAGGCTTTGTGCAACTGTATTCATTTAAAGAGAAATCTATTCAGGGTTGTCTTTTCAGATTGTCAAATTAAAAAAGCCACACAGCATTTGCTTCTAACCCATAATTACAGATTATTACGGAACACAAAAGATGCCAGGCATAAAAAGCTACTACAATTCACTACACTGTAATAGAACATGCAGTGGAAGTAAATTTTGGCAAATGCTTTAAATATTAGCTTTACATAATATGTATAGGTGAGACTGTAATTAGGACAGAATGAATCCTTGGAAGCCTCTTTCATTCTGACCCTGCAGATGATTACTTTTTACTAATAAGGCCACAGCCATTTGACGAAAAGCCAACTATAGTACCTTGCTTCATTCTTCAGTAAATTTAATAATTACAGCTCCTCCTGCCAGTAGTTCTCAGATCAGTCTTGTTCAATCCAATACTGAGCTTATTAGGGGACAGCTCTATGTTTAGAATTCTTTGGCCAAAAAAGTACTTGAGGATGATGAAGCATGCCTTAGACAAGGGCACAATGATTAGCCATTTTCTCTACATAAAAAACAGCACGTAGTCACTACAGACCACAAAATCACCTGCTGTTAGCACACAGCTGCTACAAAGAACTGCTGCATTTATCTGGTTCTTAATACCCTTAAAAAAGCCTAAATGGAACAACTTAATATAGAGGCAGAATAGCACTACACAGAGTTGCTCGTATCTTAATCTCATCTTTTTCAATTTTCTTCCCTATGTAACCATTTGATATTTACTAGATACACTGCATAATACATGATAGTCCTCTAGATTCTTGATTCTTTATTTCTGAATTATGAAGAAAATGCTAATTCCCATGTCTCCTAAGGTTCTAACCAGATGAGAGAAAATTTCTCTCTTTTTAAAAAAATCTGTGGTTTTAAGCTGTGCAAAAAGAGATCAATAAAAAATTACGATAGGCTAAAAAAAATCATGGAAAACATTCAATACTGCAATGTCAAACAGGAACAAAAATCCAAAATTCTTCTAGAAAAAGGAGCAAAATAAGGAAAAATCAAATTAATTTACTGAAGGTAAAATGAAAAGCAACATTCATCCATGTTGCAGAACTTAACACTTCTGCTGATACACAGAGAACAGAAGAATCCATATCCTATCGATCTTGGTGCTGTTCAGAACATACTTATTTCAGTTAATCAAATGGTAATTGCTCAAAAATTACATTTGCTCATTCCATACTAATGGTTCTTACCTAGTGTCTACATATAGCTGAAAACCTGTGCTGTAGACCAACACTTAAATACTGAAAACCCAGACAAATTTTTTTTAAAGAAAATGTATTTAGGCAATTAGACAAACCTTCAGTGACTGGCTGAAGTTTAGAAGACCTCTCAGAGTCTGGAGAATGCAGTGGTTCTGGTTCCTTTAAGCTCTCTAAATGCATAAAAGGATCATAATCCATACATGCCAGGTCAGAAAGGCTTAGGGGAAAATATTTTGGGTTGCTAAAACACTGAGACCCATAGACACATCCATGCAGAACCTAGAAAGAAACCAGAATTTCATTACATTAACTACTGAAATTTATAGTTTTATAAGAAATGAAGTTTATTTTTATTTGCATTTCAAGAATCTATTTGTTAGAAGGCAGGCATGATGAAACATTGGAAAATTTTAAATGCTTAATGTTTACAGAAAAAAGCTCTGGTCTGCAAAGAAAATTATTACCACCAAAGTGGAATTTAACAATAATGAAACAAAACTCACAAAACAATCATTAAGCTACCTTTATTTTTAGATCTCCTATCTTCTTTAATTACATATGCTAGGTCTAAGCTGCTAGAGGTTTTAATCCCCTTCCCTTGCAAAAAGGATAAAAACCCCTTTCTCCTGAGCTCCTAAAGACAGTAATTGTAACTTACTGTCTAACAAAAGCAAAAGTGCTTTTGCTTTTCTCATTGCTAAATGAAACTGCTTGATATATAAAAATTACATCCTTTTGTATTAAATGTACAGTTAATATTCTACAATACAAGCATCTGCAATCTATATGACATACAAAAAAAAGGCTTGGTTAACCATCCAAAATGTAAATCAAAATCTACTATTCCAAATATACCAAAGGTCAAGCTGATGCTGTGAAACATACAACCACTGAGCCAGCAGTCTATATTTCAGGAGAAGAATGGAGGTCAGCTTACAGAAAACGTTTGCCTTCATTTCCATGGAAACTGACACTACCTTCATACATAGAAATTCTTAATAAGTGAGCAAAGAAACATGTACCTTATATATACAATTAAGAACAGATCTTTCAGTCTTATCATTTTCTGCTCCTGTAGTATGAAGAGGCTGCAGCAAAGTCTTCAATGGCAAGGCCATTATCCAATCCAATAAGCACAGAAGTAAAGAAACCACCAACTGGAAAAAACACTTTCCATTACAAATCAATTAAGCCAGCACCTGCTATTTCATATTTATCCCTTTATTTTACTTCTCTGTTTTGCCTTTTTTTTCAATTCAGTAAAGTCAACCTTCTGCAGCATTGGCAGGTCCCACTTGTTAACCACTGAATCTTCAAAAACTATGGCATCAGTAAAAACTGACTACAGAGGTATTTAACAAAGGCCATCCATTCAACAGTTTCTCATGAGGGCATGACTGTGAGCAGATACTATACTTAGGAGGATACCCACAGTTTTCAAAATTGATTTGTAGGCTGTTGTTTTTAAAAGGACAGATAACACAGGTCCAAATCAAGGCTGATGTGCCATTTTGCACATATATTTCACAGTAAAGTGAATCAAGGATTACACAAAATGGAACCAATTCCCCTGTATTTAGTGCTTTATAAATAACACATAATGTCATTTATAACATATCAATAATGTTATGCAGCACCATATCATATTTTATCATCTGAAAGAAATCCAACTGCTTCCTGTACTGTAGGTTACTCAGTTAGAAAAAAGAATCAACTCCCTCTTGGGATGTTTTGAAAGACTCTGGAACAGAATTAGATTAAGACACAAATCCACACCAAATCATCAATAACTTACAGACCAAATAAAAGTTTTTGATTTTTAAAACTCAGTTGTCGAAGAGAAGACAATTCAGATAAATATCTGCAAGATTCTCTCAAATATTTCTCAAGGTAAATAGAAGTTTTTAAAAAAAATCTATTTACCCAATTTACTAGTTTCACATAATGCATTCCAAGTTTGTCCTTCAAAAGTATAATAAACCTAATAATGAAGGGTACTGAGTCTTTCTATTTTTAACCAATTTTTTTGAAACCCATTAGGACTACATTTGTCAAAATGGGTAAGACAATTTTTATTTGATATTTCATGTACAATTGACAGTAGTTCATGGGAAAACTTGGTCAATTATGGAAACCATCCTCAAGTGGAAAAGTGGGTAGCTTGGCATATGAGTGTAGACTATAACAGCCCCGACTTCTTGCAAACAGAGACAGAAGATGAAACAGAGCTCTGAAAACCAAAATGAACAACAGATGAACTCCAGCTCCTTGTGGGAATGGTAGCCCAGAAGGATGGAGCTGTCAGAAACAAACTGCACCAAAAGGCCCAAATTTAAATGACCTAATAGGCCCACAGCAAAACTAATTCAGAAGAGACACAGCTTTCAGGAGGCAGAAAGTACTAGAAATGAAAAATACTTACTCTCTTGTCCTGCTCATAAGAGGAAGCTTCTGTACTGGGTAGCAGATGTGTAATAGTTGCTATCAGAATCTGGGGAAATTTAGCATATTTCTTTTAAAATACAACTTAAATATTTAAGTTTAAAATAATTTTTTAAGCAGGTAACTCTAACATGATACTGGATTCACGATTAAATTCTATTACAATTATTTTGAGACAAGTTACAATATTCCTTGACAATTTTTTAAAATAAAAACACTTTTTATTGAGTTTTGCAGAACACATTGAAGGAGTATGTTCTGTTTGACTGACGTAGGTGCATTAAGGACAATGAAATTACACAGCTACCTCAAATATTCAGCCATAAAAAGAACATGACTCAACACACTTGTAGGATGTGGGAAGAAATCTGGTGCTGGTTTGTGTATGGTACTATCTGAGCTACATTGTTTCTTAGAACTACTAGAATTTGCAGACACCCTGTCTCTATTTGATCAAAAATATGTCTCCGGAGGAGCACAGAAATGCTTGCTGTATCTCTTAAGAAGCTTTCACAGGAAAAGAACCTGGGTGCCCTCTGTGGCTCAGACTCACGGAGGACATAGTCTACCTCCTTGTTACAGGAAGCATATTCAAAATATTATTTTTGTTTTATACTGAAACTCTTTCATGGATATACAAAATAAAGTTGAAGAACCATATTTTAAGCAATCATTTTCTTCCTGAACTTCAATAAACATGCTTGAAGATATCTAGTATTAAGAAAAAAATTGTACTTTACTGACAACATTTTCATGACACTTTTTCTCTGAGAAAAAACAGGCATGATATAGACACATTACATGTCTATACTGGAGTCAGGAAGTTATGTGTGTTGCAATTCCCAATTCCTTACTGTTAGTGTTAAGTAAGATTATGTTTATACTAATTCAATATTTTGCAAAACATAATTGTCAATATTCAAGTGTTTAACTTTAGGGCAGTACATTGTAGTGATTAATTTAAAATAATTGAAAATTTCAATTAAAAATAATTACTTACTAGTATTATTCTTAATGGTGAATCAGCTTGATATAGTTGAAGCCTATGTACATAATGTATCAGCATGTTCAGCATACTGCAGGCAACTTGGGCTACTGTTTTATTTGGAAACTGGCAAAGAGAACACAGCACAGTAACAATGACAAAATGGTTTCATGTAAGAGTACATTAGGTGGTAGGGTGGTCACAAATTTCACTGGTAGTTTTATACATACAGCTCCTTAAGTATCTATTTACCAGAGGAACAAAATTAAATTTTACAAAACTCAAAAATAACTATTTTATATTCATAAATGAATGTTAGCAGCTAACATCAAAGTTTTGGGGCAGACATGCAGTTAGATGCACACCAGGAAAGGGAGAGGTATCTCCTAACTCGAATAGTAGAATATCATGAAGCCAGGAAGAAAGAAATGATTTCTTATTATCTTAATTATTATTAATATTAATGAATCACTGCAAAGCCCTCCCAAGGATCCAATTCTGAAATCAGAGGTCTTTGCTGAGAATCAAGGCAGGTGATGAGCCACATGCCCAAACCACAGCCTGTAGTACTAAACATGAGCGGAACTGTTCTGCTCTCTGCCAGTGACTGCAGTGCCCAGCACATGTTGGAATGGAAATGGATTCACCCTGGCTTCTGTGCTTAGCTCTGCTCTTCTTTTTAAGGCAGGAGAAGGCTGCTGCTCTGCAGCCTGCCTTCCACAGTTACTGAGCTGGTCAAAGCAGAAGGGAACACACTTGTACAGTAATTCCCACTCTTAGGAAGGATGCACACCCTGTTCTACATTCCTAAGTGGGAAAACAGAAATTAAGAGACGTGTTTCCCTAAACTGTTGACGCACAAGACGTGTAATTGAGTTTCTTACCTTCACTGCACTTGCTTTAAAACATTAAGGTGTGCAGCAAATGGCAAGGACAAAGTTAATATTACAAGTGAATTCCTGCATTAGTAAGAACATATTTTACTTGTTTCAATCTCACTACATTCAGCAGTGAAGCTGTCACAGGTATATGCTGCAAGATGGCTCTCTGCTTCTGCACTCAGAAAAGGGCAATTATGCTGTAAAAACACTTAGATGTAATTTCTTGGCTTCACAGGCCTTTTTCTTACTCAGACCACTTCTATTAACCCTTCAGGGAGGGGTGTATCTCACAAAACTTAAAAAACCCAAAGCTTTAAGAAAGCTGAAATGCCTGGATAATGAAGCCTGAGTAGAAAATAAAGATTTTAGAATAAAAGTATTGAATGGCAAAAAACTTAAACTGAAATAACACTGGAAGAAGACTCTGTTCTGGGTCAGTACTTCTTATCAAAGCAGAGCTATCAATTTTTACATTTAAAATCTTGAAAAGAAATGGTACAAGCACAAGGAAAAATCTGGAGTACAAAGCTTTAATTACCATTTTTATTTGTGTTATCTATGTAAGAAAAAGGAAAAAGTATGAATGGCTCTTGCAAGTCATCCAGGGAGGTGGAAACCTGAGTACACAATGGATAGTTAATTCTTGTTCTGACTTTCCCTGTTTCTCACTTTCATGTTATTGTTGACTTCTATCTCAAAAGAGTAAACATCTCACATCTCCAAATCTTCACAAACTTTATGACAAGACTATCACTACGTTTTTATCCCTCATGAGACAGCCTCTCTCTATGCTGTGAAATGCTCGGTAAGAGCAGGGTACAGATTCTAACACTCAAGCTTGAGTGGCAACCAAAAAAAAAAAAACCAAAAGCAAAAAAACACCAACAAAAAAACCCCCAAAAAACCAAACTGAAAGCATGACAATTTGATTACAGAACTTGAGATCAAATCCAGATTGCTCAAAACATCCTAACAAGCTTGCAAGAAAACCCCAAAATCACTGGAGAAGAAAAATGGGGTGCACAAACTGGTGTAGCTTAATACAGAAATCCTGACCACTGAAAGTAAGAAAAAAATACCTGAGAAAAAAATCTGGAGACTTTTCAGAGTCACTGAATAACTGACCATTCACTACTTCAAAACAGAAAGCATTTCTTTCTTACATTTTAATGGTTCTTTTTCTAAAGAGGCTCTAAAATAAAGACGAATGAGTAATTTTTTATTATTACTGGCTAGTTTACACAAATCAGTTAACCTCTTTTTTTCTCTGGTTGAAGAGAATTCTTTTTTTAATTTAATGAAGGAACAAAAGTAAGCAGAGACATAAATTTCACATAAAGGATAAAGTGTATAAAGTAATGAATATGAATAAATTTAAAATCTAATCTTGCACACAATTTTTTTTTATTCATGGGAAAAGCATCAGGGAGGAAGTCTTGATCAAGAATATGGGGGTTGGCTGAAATAGATCAAATCTTTCATGTGCTTCAGAGAGCTGTCCTAGCATGGTCAATATATCACATTTCAAAAGAATGCTGTCACTAGGGTCGAGTTAATTTCCTCTCAGCAGCTCTTGCAGTGCTGTGTTGTGGATTCGGAATGAGAATGGTGTTGATAACACACCAATGTTTTGTTTTTTTGCTAAATTCTGTTTATCAAAAGTCAAGGATTTTTTTTTTTCTCTTGTCTCATGCTGTACCTGTGAGAAGGTCAGCAAAAGAAACTGGGTGGGAACATGGCTGGGATGGGTGATCCAAACTGACCAAAGGGATATTCCACACTGTAGGACATCATTCCCAGTACATAAACTGGGGGAGTTATCTGGAAAGGGGGTTGGTCGGGGTTGGGAAAAGGATATCAGTCAGCGGGTGGTGAGAAAATTATTGTGCATCACTTGGGTTTTCTTTCCTTTCTCTTATCATTGCTATCATTTACCATTATTGCACTGTTTTACTTGGCTTTTGATTATTAAGCTGTTGTCATCTCAACATAAAAGTTTTGTCTTGATTCTCCTTGCCATTGCACTACAGTGGGTGGGAAGAAAGACTGAGCGAGTGGCTGCATGGTGCTCAACTTCCAGCTGGGCTTAAACCAGGACAAACACTCAGGCACCATAGAACAGACAGTTCTGAGAGCTGTGGGTTCTGGAAAGACATTTTCCTGAACTCAAGCAGCCTCACTGACTACATGTCAGGTAATGAAACAATTCAGTCCTTTCAAGTCAGTTATTTGGTTTTGACTTCTTTTACAAGAACCTTCAGAGTGGCCATGGAAACACCTGTATGATGCCATAAACATTCCACTTGCCATTCTTTGTCTCTGGAAAATGTCCCATGTTATAAAGCATAACAATTAGTAGCATAAATTGTGGACATAATTTTTGAGAACGCACTCGATGAGGGGGAAAAAAGATACCAGTGAACTGGCACTTTTCCTGTTTTCCAACTCTCAGGGCTTTTCTTGGAAAGGTGGTCTTACCATAAGGTTAATTTTTGTAAGGGTCCCATCTTTCTGGATGTTAAATGAGGAATTTAACCTTGTCCATACTTGAAAATAACCTATTGTTTAGCACTCATTTAGTAGATTTATACAAGAAAATTTTGTAATGTATCTGCAGCATTTTTGAGAGAAGCAAAATAAAATTATAGGTCTGGATGGCTGGTTAGGATCCTTTGTGCTCAAGCTCCAGCAGAGGTTAATGTTGACAGAGTGGTATTGCACACAGAAGCACTAGCTACATCCAAAGCCAGCTGCTGAACTGCAGCTCTGAATATGCTTCTGGTATTTCAAAAATAAGCATGTAATTGCTGCTAACATTTCTATTCAATACTATTTGTTCAATTGAACTTATCAGTAAGTTGGACTAGGCCTATAGCTCCCTACCCATTCATTTCTCCTAAAATAAGAAAATAATCCATTCTGGGAGTTCCAACCTCTGACTACTTGGTAGCCAGGAGATTGCTAAGGTAACAAATTAGAGCTAATTTATTTCTCCCATGACAAATTAATGAACTTTTCATTTTGTTATTAAACTCAATTGTGAATGTATACCATTGCTCAGAACTGGAAAAAAAAAGACAATGTACACTGGATGGTTTTGCCAACACAAAGAAAAGCAAAGTAGAAATATAAAGATCTTTGTTTTCTCATTCAAAAAGTAATTTATGTTTAATATAAATGAGATACAAATAATTGGTTTAATAAATACGTCAGAGAAAAAGAACATAAATTACTATGAATTTCAGGATTAAAAATAGTTCAAATATTGATAAATTGGAGCAGCAAGATAAAACATCATTTGCCTTATACCAAACTTGCACAGGAACTTGATAAAATGTAAAAGTTAAGCTTTATTAAAAATCAAGGGGAAAACACTGGAAGAGGGTATTAGTGGAGCTGCAAAGAATGAATGCGATTTTGCAAAACAGGAAAGTGCAATTTAGAGTCTAATACTAAAAGGCCTGCAGCTACCTTATACAAAGACTCAAATCCTGCTTCACAGGATGTGAGCAGCTGATCTGCTAAGATATTTTTCAGATTCTCATCGCTTAAAAGAAAATAATAATCCCTAACATCCGACAGAAGTCATGTGTAACAGGTGTACATTTTCATTTTTATTAATCTGTATATAAAGAAAGACTATTCATAGAATTTTGATGCAAACAAAAAGCACATAGAATGGTTCTGAAGATAAACTGGAAAACATTTTAAAAGCTGAAAGTATTGCTCAGAAACATGCAAATTTGAAAACTGCTTAAAAACAAAAGGTTTTTACTAATATTCTAATTATTCTATAGAATAGAATAATTAGAATATTAGTAAAATAAGAACAAATGCAAAAAGATTTAAAATAGTAGGAAAACAGAAGCAACAGTAGCACTCATCAAGCAAAAATATGCAGCTCCTGGAATAAGCATAAAAAAGGATCCTGCCCCAGCAAATTAAACATTTCTGGTGCTTCCATGCATATGGTATAAGTACTCTGCATTTCTCACTAAATATCTAGCCAGGCCTAAAAAGCAGTATTGCATGATTCAATGACTTGAACTCAGAAGTGAATATGCACAGAGTGTTGTGAGAATATGTGGTAGGTTAGAGTGGCTAGTGATTTTGTAAGAATAAAGATCTACTGTCTTATCCTCCCAGCACATCATTCTCTCCAAACTTAAAGAAGGGTAAAGAACTTTTGACATTTCAGAGATCCACTCATTAAATTGAGTTCTCTCTTTTGTAAGGACAGCAAATGAGACTGCGAGGCAAAGATGCTAAAATGTCATTAAGACTTTGAAAATGCAAAGTATCTTTACACATAAAGGCAATATACATTGTAAAAATTTAATTCTCTCACCTTCAAAGAAACACATATCACATTCAATGCTTCCTTGATCTGAGGATGATGTGATTCATGGACTAGCTCCTCACAGATCCAAATTCCAAGGCTACAAAGAGCAACACATCTGCAAAACAATGTTGGAGGACAAGTTGTTGAGAAACATTCTACAGGAATGTGTAATTTTTATGATTCATTAAGTTTTGATAAAGACATATAACAACAAATATGTTTTTAATATTTCCAAAACAACTGTACAAAAACCTTTCTAGTGCTGTAAAACATTTAAAAATTATCAAGAAATCCAAAGTATGCTGGTGAAGGCAGAGGAAAGGGCAGAGGAAGCACCCATCTGAGCAATTGAAAAATCCAAAAGACATCAAAAACTCCTGCATTTCTATGTGTGTTTTGATTAAAAATATTATCTGGAATCAACATATGAGAAATTCTTATATTTTCTTAAGACAAAGCAAAAACTGGGGTGGGAGCTTCCTCCTTCCTAAGACAAGAGGTTGCTCATATTTAGAGCTTCTGAGACACAGAGATGAGAGAGGAATGTTACTCTCTCATGGACATTCACATTGTTTTAGATGAACAATAAACAAGGATGAATAGAGGAGGGGTACGTGAATCCTAGAGTCAGTATACATATTGTGATTAGTACATTAACTTTCGTTGTTTCTTCATAGAAATAGAAAAAAAGGGTAAAGGTAAAAAGTATTTAGATAAGTGTGTTCAAATCAGCAGATGGATGAAATTTGTTCAGAAATGTTAAGGAGCTAGATTAAGCCATCTCTGATCCATTAGTTATTTTCTTCAGGAACAGAGTCTACAAATATTTGGAAACAACTTCAGGATTCAAAATCCTGGATAAAATTGGAGAGCAATCCAAAATTGAAAACAAGAAAGCTGGTCATGTAACCTGGGAAGGAAAAACTGTAGGCAGGAAAAGAAACAGAAGTGGTTGTGAAGCCTGTGCTGTAGAAAAAGGATTTTAAGGCTACATAGAATCATGAAAATGCTTAGAGAGAGCAAAAACACATACATGACTTAATAGTACATTACAGTGTAAACCCACCCTATTTTGTACATTGTCACTGAAAGAAAAATTGCAAAGTGGAGAGTGTTATGCCTTTTAGAAAGCAGTTTTGTAACATGAAAAATTAAGTCAATGTGATCTCAGGATATTCCCTCTTTTTCCTCTGTTGAGAAATATTATCAGCTCACATGAAGAAAGAGGTAAGTGGGCTGATGAAAACTGCTCTTGGTTTTCCAAAAAACTGTTTAAAGGTTCAATAAGCTGATTTTTCAGAATTGTAGCTTTTCAGGTATGTACTTCAAGTATTTTTTTATGTGACAATATATTAGTTGAACATATATATTCACTCTTTCCAAATATATAAAGCACACAAATGCAACTCCTCCTTGGTAGGGATTAGAGATTCCTGTTCAAATCCCATACACAGGACTGTGTAACTGAATGCTTCTGAAGATGGGTATGGAGGAATAAAATCCTAAGCAAATTAAGAAACAGGAGAGAAAACTGGTAATAATCCTTTCCAGATGAAGATGCTTAGGTTTAAGCATCAGAGCAACCATTCCTAGTTTAATGCTTAGCTCAGTTTTTTCTGCTTCTTGTCCATACCATAATAAGGGCTCATGTACATTGGATTATTTCTGTTTTTCAAATTAAACAATGTGATCTAATAAAAAAAAACCTACCCCTCCCTCATAAATAGTCTTGTCCTAATCAAAGTAAAGAATGCCTCTCTACTCCAGAAAATCCCTAAGCTGAACACCAGAGTAGGCTGGGAAAGCTTATTCTCTTACCCTTATTTACACCCTTTCCTATCAGCCACTATCACAGAAAGAACACCGGACCAGCCCAGCTCAGTTTGTTCATTTAATATCTCTATTACAAACAATCTCGAATTCACATCATGGACCACAGTTTTGACAGTGGTGAAGAAAACCATTAATAAAAGGCAACAAACTTTTACTTTAAGCTCTCTAATATATTCACCTCAAAACAGCCTAATAAAGAAAAGAACCTATTAATGTAGAAGCTCTTTTTGTATGGCCTACCGTGCAGGACCAGATGGCTCCTCTCTTGCCGAGCTTAACACAGTTTTAATTATGAGTTCCTAAAACGAAGAGGAAAAATTCACTGATTTACACATAACTCCATCCCGAAAAGCATCAAAATATTATTATAGTGCACACAGGCATATTGCTTAGTTGAACCTCTATGTTATGGTCAGATGAATTGTTTGCTTACCACTACTCCAAATATCAAGCCTGTCCCAGATACTTGTTACTGTGCCACCCCAAGAATATCCTACACGTTACTGTCCTAATTTCTCCTGATGAGCCATGTATCCAATTCTTGTCAAAGCATTCCATAAAATATCAAGGGGGAAAAAAAATAGTAAAGGGCTCCCTGAAGCTATCTTAGGTAGTGCTAAAGGGTATGACAGAATCTTTTACTTTAAGGTTTAAACAAGCACTTTCAAAAAATTTAATTTATTTAAAAATTATTTTCAACTAGGTACTAGATTAAGTGCCTACAGTGCCTTAAGAATGCTGTCAAAAAGAACTTTGACTCAATGACAGTGAAAAGTCCCTAAAGCTGTAGGCTGCCCTTAATATAACTCACGTAAACAACCATTCTACATTAGAAATGAGAAAGAAGGAATTCAAAATCAGTCTCCAAAGGGGAGCAAGGTATAAAGCAGCTCTCAAGTCATCATTTCTCCTCAAATTGAAAAAGTTTGGAAAACTTAAGGGGAGCCTTTCTTAGACACACAAACTGTGCTCTGTGCAGTTTCAGTATACCGTCACACTGCCTGACTGTGTCATAACAGACAAGGTAACGACTCTACTAATATTTGCATTTTGAAGACAAAACAGACTGCTGTACAGAACACACTGCTGTGCAGAAATTTTTTAAAGTCTCTAGGAATACAGGCAGATTTCACCAGTTGTGAAATAAATATAATTGTCCTAATAAATTAAATAATTAATCTTAAACCTCTCAATCTTGTCTCAGCTAATTAAATCTGTGATACCTGCAAATCACCCTGGTGAGAGAAGGCTTGAAAGGGTGAGATAATGTATAATTTTCTTCTACAAACATAAGAAAACACTTTATTATTAAGTTAATAGCGATTATAATGTATGTTTAGAAGTATAAAGTTCGACAAGACCTTAGAGGATCTTGAGTCTTATGATCTATTTGAAATTAATTTCAAAAAATTCTAGGATCTTAAAATCTTAATATTGTCTGCTAAAGCACAATATTAGGCATGCATTTAGTTAATAGAATACTAGCCAAATATTTTTAAAATCCCTACCTTAACATCTGTAAAATGAGACACAGCAATGTCAGGAATATTTGGGTGAAGAGCTGGTAGTTCACGATATAAATTGGGAAAACAGACTAGAGATCCTAAAAGAACTTGTGCTTCAACTCTTGGTGCCTGAAAAAAAAAGGGGGGGGAAGAAATATATATTCTTACTGCAATCAGAAAGCTGACATTTTTAGCTTCCTTAAAAGAGAATGATGGCTGAAATTGTATATAGCCATTTCCTTTCTCCTGGAAATTCTGAGCTCCTGCAAAGCTGAATAAACAGAGACCTCAGCTCCTTGGATTTTTACTCATGCACACCTCTGCTCTTGTTTTCCAAGACAGTAGAAAGGAGGCAGAAGGATTGTTGACTGAACTGCTAACTAGGCTCAGGTCCTAGGTTCAGCTAATTGACCAGGATGTGGAAAACTACTAAAAGTGACATGAGGCATTGCTGAACAAGAAAGGCTACAGTGTAAGAAGCTGACAGAGGCTTCAGATAAGTACCTTGAGGGAGACTGGATTTTGTAACTGGTTAGAGAGGGATTGATGGGAGAAAAAGGCAAATTTCACAGAGAGTTGGAGAAGACTATGGGGGATTTGAGAGAGTACAGTGTGCACAGCCAACAGCACCTAGGTTATCACATAGTATTACTATATAAGGCTGAACTTGCCTGAGTAACAAAATCAGAAGTGTGTAAAAAAATCCAAATATTGCAAACACTAGCACATTTGAGTTCTCAAGCCTGATCATAAAAGTCATTTCATAGCAGAGATATGGGGAAATAAGTACATTTTAAAAATGAAATCATGGTAAAAATAGACATTTACTTTAAAACATCTTCAAGCACAGAAAAATGGCAGTCGCAATTTTTGTAACTCTAAAATAAGATTCTCTGCTTCAACAGTAATTTTTGCATTCCTCACATATTTTCTGGAGAGGCATGTGTAGCGCTCTGGAATAAATCATTAACATTATCTGTATTTGATAAACACTACATTCAATTCTGGGATCAATTTACCACCCTAGTCAAAGAAAAATATACTGCTCAGTATTCTCTCAAATTCTTTGTCACCCATAAATGAGAATTAACTGATGAATACTTACATTGAGGAAAGAAGAAGCAGCCACTCTTCCTGCTGCTACAATGAAATCCATAATAAGCATGGTAGCACCAGGTAAACCAAGTGAAAAGAACTGAGGAGAGCAATGCTTGATGATTGTATTGACAATATCCTCGCAGAAGGAAAAGAGAAAAAAGGAAGAGTATCAACACGAATCAAATGAAAAATGAAAGAAAAAAGGTAGGTATTTATCAAAAGTAGAAAGTAAAAATGTGAGAAAGAAAACTCTTTGTGGCCAGTAGGACATTCATTAATGAGAGAAGAGTAGCACAAAAAGATAAAATCCTTAAGTATACTCATATTAATGTAAGTAAACTTGGTATACTTTATAGATCAATTTAAGCTCGGACAACAGTTCATCTATTCATTTACAGTCAGCTTTTAAGAGTTCTGTAACTGATCAACCATTCATTTGAATAGGTACAGAAAAGATATAGAAAGAAAACCAGCTATTATACCTTAACAACTGCTTAATCCTCTCCATCAAGTATTGCCTGACTGTAACTTTAAAAAAGGTATTTAAAGGTATTTAAAAAACCTCTTACATATACCCATATGAAACCAAAATTTGAAGGAAGATAATAAAGTGTTTTGTAACATTTCTGGTATGTAGTTAATCAGCACAGCATATTATGTTCTTGTAGACTTAGTGAGGCACTTTCAAAAATCATTGTACATGTTGCAATTTTTTTCAAAATACTTGGAAAAAAGCATAAAATGCTTTAATTGTAAAAAAAAATCCCAAGTCTACAGATTGACACCCCTCCCCTTTTCTCCTTTGAATAATTCTCCACTAGTAGTAATATCCAACTAAATAGCAGCATGTCATAGGAGGATCTTCAATGCAGCAAGAAAAGCAGCATTAATGGTTGTTACAGGACAGAAACTGGAGGTCTGTCCTATCCATAGTCATCTGTGGAATAATTTTGGACTAATTCTATCCTTCCCAGTTAAAGAAAACAGGGTTGTTTGAACCTTTGACCTACCCATGCCTATAATCATTCCTCAAAAATGTTCACAAACCCAACTTTTTTACACTTCTGCAAATGTTTAAAAAGTATTTAAGCCATAAAATATTTTCAAACTTCTTAATATCAAAACCTATAAAAAACCTACTCCCACTGATTAGATACGCTCAGTACATCTCAGTTTGCTGGTTCCTATACTTGCTGTAGAAACAAAGTCCTCCAATGTAGTGAGCACAATTTACTAGCTAAACTGTTGCATCAGGGAGCAAGTAAGAAGAACAGTAGACTTTAGAGAGATCTGCTTCCTTCTCTTTCTTGCATACTTCAATCTGTAACATACAATCAATAAAAAATGAGAGAGTATCTTTTCTGCCCTCATATTTGCTTGAAATGGACTACAAAAAAAGCATTTCTGAATACAACCAAGAACATGAGGATCATTTATCAAAGTTTTCTTTTTAGAAAAAGTATCAGTCACAGCACTAATTTCCAAAACAAAGTTAAATTACTCAGATGAAAATACACTTGAGTAATTTTGAGAAGAGTCAGTCATAACATTTATATTATTTTGAATTTCATAATCAACTTACTTGATCAACATGAAGAAGTCCACAGTGCATGATATTGTAGAAATGAGTTAAAAAATCCCTGTTTGGAGAAACATCTTGTCTTCGTTTCATTGTCTTACAAATAAGCTTATAAGCATGTAGCTTTCCTTGCTTGTATTTATCAGTCAGCATTGTTGCCTACAGTTTTAGAACAATATTTATTATTCATAAATTAAAAAATTACATTAAACACTCTTCTACATTTATTTCTGTTTCACAGTTTATTGCTCAAATTTACCTTGAAGAGCCATGGTGTTAGAATTCTCAGTGGTGGAATTAAAACTGGGGGAGATGGTGAAGTTAGGTTGTCTGTTGAAATACCAAGATTGTCTCTTATCTGCAATTATTAAAAACAAAACAGAAAGAGAATTATTTAAGGGAAATATATAAGGCGTTATTTTTTTCTTTTTGAAAATCCTACCCAAACAGGTCAGGTCGTTGAAAACAGTTCAGTTCTTTTACCTTGGCCAGATTCTGCCACAGTTCACACAGATAATCAAAAACCTGGGCATGAATCTCTGGATCCATTATGCAGTTGACATCTCCCAGAATTCCTAGCATCCTCCTCCACATCACAGTAGCAACATCTGCGTGCCATCCTGTAAGTGTTCCCCCAGCCATCACACTGCAACATTCTGAGGGGAATTCACTAGTTTCTGTAATGGAAGGAAAAAAGTATAGTGAGATCTACCTCTCCAGAAAAGTTCTGATACAACTATCAAATACACACTCCTCATAAAATGGAATGATCAGGCTTTCAGAATAAGCTATTTTTTACCCAGTCAGCCACCTCAACACTGTGGTGTTAAGCTTTGTCTGTTATAAACTCTGTAGAGGAAGAACTGTCTTATTTCTTATACTCTTTCATGAAATAACATTTAAGGTCACTGCTGGAGCTCTAATACAGATCTGACAGACCTAGTAAGGCCACTCCTCTTGTAAGTATTTTCTTACATTCCTTGAAGTCAATGAATCTCCAGAACCCCACCTGGCTGCTTTCAAGTAAAATTATCTTTCATCTTTACATTTATCCTAATAATATATAAAGACTATTTTTTTAAGAAACTACTAGGAAAGCATGTTATTGCAAGTCAAAGAGAAAAGAGACTAAACTTGTCTCTAGCTATTGTCCTTTAAACAGTTAATTGGCATGAGTGGAGAGGGAACATTCAGTAACTCAGCACCACAGTCTTAACACACACCTAGCTCTTTCCACACACCAGTGCTATATGAGAAAACATTCTTTTTTAGGTGGAAGATGATTTATCTAGACTGTCCATATAAAGAAACCCTCAGTGGATTCTGATGGCTCAAGTCTACTCAGGCCACTCTTAGCTACCTAAACAGCCACAAAATACTAGATAACGAGCCAGCTTGAGAGCAGCAGGCATTCAGAATCTTCTTTCCACCCCCTCAGGTGGATAATTCATTGGGATCTTCTGAAAGTCTTGTAGCCCCCACAGGCATACCAAATCAAAATTAAATCTGAATTCAGCCTAATCACATAGACTCTTCTTTTGAACTTCTGGGTCACTGTGGTAGAGATGCTATTGGTTTCTAGGCTGTAGATTTTGAAGTACAAAGCAAAATGATCTTTCTGTCCATCAGTAGGCTACTTAAAGAAAGAGGGTCTGAAATACATAGCAGACACTCTTTTGTTTCCATAAGACCAAATGCGGGAGAAATATTCACATTACATTTCAAAGAAAATGTATCTCAGAATTCCACAGCTAAGATAGCTGACATAATTACAAATTGGTTTAGATATGAAAGGGAAACGAACTAAACTTGTAAGGAAAAATGATAAACTATAAAATTATGTCTTATTATTTGTACATCAACGATAAAACAGTCCATGGCATGGCCACATGCTAGATTAAGCTGCCACAATTCTCAGCAACTAAAAGAACAATTTTAATATGTGGACTATTAATCCACCACCAAAAATTCCAATGAAATGCAGGTTAAAATGCAAAAGGTTTTTGTTTACTTTTAAAAGCAATCACTGTAATTAAATATTTTTGAAGTGTAGATGAAATAGCCTTGTACAGGACTGTTTACAACTCATGTGATATCAGCTACTTCACTACATTGCATTAGAAAGAAAAAAGAAAGAAAGAACAAGTTTGTATTTTCTATTCCAGATATTGCCTAGGTCATCTGGCGTCTGTAAAACAGAGTGGTGGAGCTTCTCATCCAGCTGCAGATCCTTCTGCTCAATATGATCTGCATGCAGAGTGGCAGGAGAGGGTGTCTGTGATCGGGATCCAAGAGCAGATTGGATTGGAGAAGCACTTTCAGAGCCTGCAAATGTAATTTTTAACAGTTACCTTAAAAGCCTTTTCTATTTTCTTGAGCTATGAAATGTTGTCTAAATACAGCATTAACAGAAAACTGAGCTGCTTTTATGTATCAAATTGGGTCAAGAAAAGATCTAAAACAGTAAGCAGATCTCCCTGTGAGTGGTGTTCTGAAAAAAATGAAACACATGCAGAAAAACTGAAAGATGAACATCAAAATGAGACAGATAAGTGGACTAGCAGACGTCTATTTTCAGTCCACATAATTCTAAATGTGGTTGTTTTGCAGCACTTTCAATGTTTCAAACCAGCTAAATTTCTCATTACATTTCCCTCACCTGAATTTCTCTCTACTAGAAAGTTTAAGCAAAAATTTTCCTGGAACAAATGTTTTTCCAGGGTGATAAAGCCATGCAAGTTAACATATAAATAAAAAATCAGTAACTGATAATCTTCAGTGTTTATCTACTGATTGAACTGAGAAAATCCATAGGATGGGAAAGTCCTGTATAGATAGAGGAGTGTTATTTCCTGTAAAACAGGAAATAACAAGCATCTGAATGACAGTGCTACAAAGGCATTTTTCTGTGATAAGTCTCTGAGCAACCTCTCTAGACAATTATGTGGTCCCCACTGTGTGATCTGTGGAGAAGGAGTAAGTAGTTGTATTTTTCTTCTGTACTATCTTATGTTTTACATCCTGAATTTGTCTAAAGATCCTTATAAATAGCTAAGTTTAGCCAGAACAGTCACACGACAGACAAAAAGAGAATGAAATATTCACAAAACTTTTCTACACATCAGCACATGTGAAATTAATAGGAAAAGAATTCCTATTAATTTTAATTGTTAGATAAATGTAACAGGGACACAAAAATATTATGTGTAAAGTTCAGTATTAGTGATAAAGTGAACTTTAGGGACAGCAATCGAAAAATGAGTCTTTTAAATAGTAATTTTCCCAAATTATCATGAGCATAATTGAAGAACATTTCTCATTTGAGAGAAGTGTTCTTTCTTATAAAGAGAACAAATTGTTTAAAGAACTTGACAGAAAATGTTATCGCTGTTGTCAGAATAGAAATTGCAGAAAACAATCTTTATTATGCTGTTAATCTGCAAAGGTCTCTATCTCCTTTAAATGGCTAAGACAATGAAGCTTTTACTATCAATTTCAATCCAAACCTCTATGCAGGATAGAGGGACACTACTGCTTCCCACACAGACTGCTGTCTTGTGCAACTTGCTACTGACCAACAATTTTCCACATGCTTACGGAGATAAACTAAAATACACCCTTCAAAGATGTTCAAAGAAGTATTTTCTTACTTCATTTCCATCCTGCTCATTAGCTGGGGACAGATGAAAGTAGTTCATAAAAGGAGCAAGAAAGAGTCATGAGGATGAGAGAAATAGAGAGAGAGTGGGATAGAGAGGGAAAGAAAGTGAATGAGATGGAAAGAGCAGGCAGGGAGGGCACGGAGCAGATGAAGGAGGGAAAGAGATCTTCATATGATGGAAGAGAATGGGCAGAAACAATTATGGAAAATTTGCAGAACTACAGGAGTCTGTCATTAAAAGATACTCCAGCATACGTGGATCCAACCTTGACTGAGACTTCCACAGGTACAACTTGTTCTAGGACTAGTAAACAGCAGACAATAGTCAAATTTATCATTTACTTAGAATATGATGTAATGCCCATATATCAAAACCAAATTATCCTTCCAAAACCCTTCAGATTTAGGAAGAATAGTTTTCTGATCAGCAGAACCACTGAAAAATTGTTTATCATAAGTGTGTTTTGAGATTGAGTTTCTGCATTGATTTGCTGGCATCTAATATAGTGAAATTCACATTGCAGCTTCCATCATGAGAGTCTGCATATATGCAATTTTCACTAGATAACTGCCTATCTTTCATAAAACATCAAAGAAAATAACATCCTTTTGTTTTCTTATATGTCAATTTAGCAAAAATTAGACAATAGGCTGCAATATTGTTGAGTGCATGGAACAATCAGGTAGACGAAACAATCGCACAAGTATTGTTTCCTCAGGAAACCCAGCTAAATGCATGTGACACACAAGAGCTGCCTCTAAAACAGTGGTTCAAGCAAGAAGAGTTAACCACAGAATCTCTCAATAGACAACTCAGTCACTAATTGCAATCTTATCAATTCAATTATAGTGCACACTTGGACAAAAATATCAAACAGTAATGAAGTTATTAACATATAAAAACATACAAACAAACAGAAAAAGAACAGATCTACAGCAAGGACTTTCAACAAGCACACAGCAAATAGAAAAATGAAGAGAACACAAGTCAAGCTGAACATTGTGGAACAAGCTGAACAACAATGTCCATGAAAGCTAATACCATTAGCAGAAGGGCACTTTTTAAAAGTTATGGCAGAGGAAGTAAAGATGTCTTTCCATATCTCTGAAAATGCAGAGTTTGATTTCTAACAGAGAACAAGACACAATATGTAGGTATAAGCTTTCATAGAAATATAGATAACTGTTGCAACTTGTTACTTGTTACAACTAGGGTTGTAACAGGAATGGTAGCATATAACAGCTATGGAACAAGGAGTATGAAAATGACTATGGGCATCTTTACTCCTCATGTACAAAATCTGGTAAGAGATCATTCTTTCAGATCAGCCTCATAGAGAAGCATTCTCTCTTTCACACAGGAGCCCATTCAATTTTGGTTAACTGCATCACTTTTCAGTTATACAAATGCAAAGTGATGTTACATGGCCAAATAAGTAACATTTTGCATAATAAAACCTCTCAGTTTCACAACATAAAGAGTTTCACAATATAAAGAGATATTAAGACGGATGCATATAAAAGAATCCCAAGATACTTCAATATGATACACTGGTTTGAAGGAGCGCTGTGAAAATCTTCCAAAGCAAAAACAATTCATGAAATTAATTATTTAACTACCAGTAATAGAACATTTGTAAGAGATCTAGCATACATTATGATGTAAGAGTTTCTCCTTGGTAATTGTATAGATTTTCTCATGAAGGGTTAAAATACCTTTAGGACCATGGATAACTAAGTCAGACAAAGGTTTTCCACTTATGTTACTTCACATATTACTTTTTAATAGCAATCAAAAATAATTGAAATAAGGGAATAATCTTAAATAGAATATAGATTCTCGGCAGAAGCTGAAAGATGCATTCTTCAGGATGGGTGAAAAATTTCTGAAATAAATACTTTTTTTTTAAAAATCTACTTTACCAGTAATAGTTGCAGCTTCAGCAGACAATGGTTGCTGATTGAGACTACTTGTTTCTGAATCTATGTGGAGTGTAGTTAGACTGGCCACTTCTTGTTCCTCAGCACTTTGTTGCTGTCCTGAAATTGCATCAACGTCAGTAGAAGCTGGCGTCCCTGCCTCAGTGCCAAAGCTGAAATCTGTATGAGAAAAGCATTGCATTAACTTACAGCATAAAAATACCACTAATATGAAAAAACCCCAGAGGTCCAGGACTGCCAAACTAAACAGAAACCTTGAATGTGCATCTTCTATGTTACTAGCACCCTGTTGCAAAATTTAAATAAAATACAACAGCAGAAAGTATTGACTATTATGAATATTCTCCTTCCTGTCATAAATCCATGACTTGATGTCTGCAGAAGACATTCTTGTTGAACATCTGTATTCTGCTTAGTTGTTGTAAGTGCATCTACATCTGAATAACACAAAAATAATGTAATCATACATTATGGAATTTATTTGTAAAATTTACAAACTGAAAGAAATATTCAAGTTTGTTGTGAAAGCACTAACTTCAAACTAAAAATTTTACAGCAAATGACACTAACAAATGTTATCCTCAACGTTAATGAAAAAACTGTCAGGCCAAAATGTAGGTTCAAATGCCATGACTATTTGCATAATGGAGAAATATATAAAAATTGTAATTTCTTCCAAAAATTCTACTATGTAAATATTATTTTTATCTTATATAACACATGATGTCATAATTCCTAGCAGCCATAATGACCCCTTCCGTTAAACAAGAGTGGGAATAGATAAATAAAATTAATGAAAAGCATTATGTTATTAAACAAAGCACACTAATTTTAACAAAGCACACTAATTGTACTATGATATTACACTTAATATCTTGATTAATCTACAGCTACACAAAGACCACTGTAAAAATATCATAACCCTTTCTTCAACTTTTATGTAATCACTTCCAAAAGAATTAAAACAATTTCCAAGATAAATAAGCTTTAATTTTTATATTTTGTGCAAAACAGATAGATACGCTCCACAGAGATGACAATATTTCTTTCTAACTTCTGTTCAATTATGTTCTCCCCTTTGCATAGTAGTACTCCAGTGCTCTTTTGTTTTGGTATACTAAAAAAACAATAGCCTCTTGTAAGAACCTTCCTTGTTCCATTAACTTGCTAATGATTTCAATGGAAAACCAAAATAATCTCTCTCGACAGAAAATTGCTGGCATACAACTTTATCTGGGGAAAAAAAAATAAAACAACAGATGAAACAAAGGAAATTTGCACTACATTAACCAAAAGTGCTATGACTTTTGGAAAAATGTACTTGCTTTCAAATTTGCGGCTCTCATATTGGAAGGCGCTGAAGGAGTCGGAGTGGCTGTCGGAGCTGATGAGGTCGCTGCTGCCCGCGCTGGCAGGCGACGTCCACTCGGAAGGCACGCCTGGGTCATCCACGGGACGCATTTGGTTCTGCTTGTTCAATATATCAGGAAGGTCTTTAGGAACTTCCAGGCTGCCAGGGCTGCTTCCTCTTCTTGTCACATTCTAAACATTGAAGACACATAAATTATCTTGCAATCTTGGACGGCTTATTTACGTAAAATGGAAAAAGCAATCCCATGTTTGGTGAAATCAGAATGTAACAAACAGTTCTTAAGTACCTGAACCAGAAATTGCCATCATTCTAAATACCAAGACTTTCCAAACCCCCAAATGAGAACCCATGCAGTCACAGAATTTCATAAATACAAATTTTATTTGCCCAGTGGATTTTTGGACGCACATTGTAAAAGTCTAGGACTCAGAGTAGCATGGGCTACATGGTAGGTAAGACATGAGAGAGATAAATAGTTAAAAAGTATATTACATCTAAATAACTTAAGAAAACTTGTTAACCTTGGTTTCAGACCCAATGGCCTATAGGCCACCATACTATAATCAAAAACTTAATTTATAGAAGAAGCAAATCAATTGACTAATTAATGCATTGATCTTCTTAGGATTAAAACACTACTTCAGTACTGGTTTGGGACACAAAGGACCACACATAACAAGTAAGGCATGCAAATTTGCTCATTTTAAAGTAAGGTGGTGGTTTATTTGAAGTCTTTCTTTAAGGCATTTTTTTCCACAGAGGGCACTGTTTGCATGAGAGGGAAGAGATATCAAAGCAGAAATGCCATTTTATGAAACGCCTTGAAATGTGTATGCATTATGAGACTAAAGATGCCTCCCTTTTATATCAGGCCCAGTCAGTTCTGCGTTCTTTTACTATTCTACTACTAATTTCAGACTAATGAGCTTTTCATGATATGGTTTTAGTATTCAATAGATAAAGCAATTTAGTAAGTTGGTACTGTTTTAAGGAGGCATGTCTGTTGTGTGCTAATTGAAAAAAATGAGCAGTAGTTGTGGTAGTCTCAGTATTTATTCAAACTTTCTCTCAGCTCTTTTCTGCTACCTGAGGAAAGTATCAATTCTCCAAAAAAAGAGTAATCCCTACCTTTCTCTCTTCTGGAACCAGCTGTGATGATTTCCGGTTAATTAATTTTCAGACTAAGTTACCTTTTTTGTAGACTACAAGTTAGCATTTTGTTGTGTAACTCAAGCCTTACTAACAAGAATACTTTGTGCCAACAATCAAGTTTCATAAACACGTGTTCATTACAAAAGAGAAAAAAAGGATACATATGGACAAACTCTGTAGATCCTTTCTTGTCATTTATAAAATATGATGATAAATAAACAATTTTTAATAACTTTGAAGAATCTTCTTCTGTCCCTTATTATCACCAACTTCTCTAATGACAATTTTCTATAGGAGTATGTCTTACACAAGCATGTCTTCAAATCACCTTGAAAACTTTAAAGCAAAAGGAACTAAATAATTTTGAAACACTATCTTTAAATTGTTACGCATTCTGTTCTTAATTTGCAACTTTTTTTTTAGTATTTTCCCTTTTGTTACTACTTAATAATCACTTATCTCTTCAAATCAGTTGTAAGCATTCAACAGTAACCAGAAATTCTTAATTTTAATTTGATTTAAACTTCATATTATGAATGCCATTCCAAACAACATGATGCTTTTGGAAAAGTGTAAGAAGGAGGCAAATGGAAAGTTGATTTTATTAGAAGAGCACTACTTATGAGAAATTATTCAATACTTGGAAGTGAAATTTAAAAAAAGGAAAAAAATATATATTCGCATAGTTTTGTAGTCTGTTGCACTGACTATACCTGTAGAGAACAGTACTGAACTACAGCATGCTACTTACTTACATACCAGGCTGCAGGAATGCAAATGTACATTTAAACTAGTATTCTGAAAGTGTCCATGTACAGGCAGGCATCTTTGCAGGTGCAATTAAAGCTGTTTAATACAATGAGACTATTCATCTGACAGTAACTTCTGCATTGCTTCCATGATGAAGATTTAATAGATATGAAAACACAAATTCTATAAAATGGCAAGAATCTATGCCAAAGGCAAGGAATAATTAAGCAATATTCTTAATTCTGATTCACAAGAGCCACAGAAATACATTTCAGTGAACTGATTTATCATGTCATTGACAAGTTCACACATACATGGAGACTTAAGTATTGAAGTGCAGCAAGTTTAAAGGCTTACCAGTGCATTACCACTGCGGAGTCTCTCAGCTATAAATTCGTCCATGAGGTCAGGAACATTTGTATTGCTACTGCCAATATCACTATCAATAGGGTGCAGCTTTTGACTCATGTCCTCTCTATTAGCTAAAAGCAAATGAACAAGCATTTATACTAAACAGCACACCAAGACATTTTCAAAACAAAATGTAACAAATGAAAAAACCTGCTGGTTAACAGAAATTTAAAAATCAAAATTGCCAAACATGCATTTTAAGAATGTTCCTCTTTTAAAGCAGATTCTACTCTCAGAATTAGTACGGCTTCTTCTTCCCACTAAGCAGGGGTTAGTTGATTTCCAATTCCACCTTTAAGAGCAGGAAGCTTATAGGTAAGCACTACTCGAAGTTGTTAATGCTTGTTTTAAGGATAAAGCATATGTTCTTCCTCCATATCACAAGTAAGTAACAAATTCTAAAAAAATTATGTGATTTCTTCGGGCTCCTTCTTCATTGCATTCCTAATGAAAAGCAATGTAGTGGAAAAAAAGTAAACTAGGTTGTAATACGTACAAATGACAAATGGCAATGTGGCACTGTATACAGTTAGTATGAATAGTGCAAACAAAATGTTACACAATATAATTACATGCTGGTGCATGGAATGAAACTTCTAACTCTAGATGATCAATGGTTATGAGCAACTAATGAAGTTCACTCCTTTATCAGTGTTATATTTTTTGATATAACTATATTGTTCATATTTAGCTGTGGCTGTTACACCTGACTTTATGATACTAGCCTTTAAAATCTTCAAGTTATTCCAGTTCATGTTCTCTTTATACAAATTTTTCCCTCAGTGTCATCTTTCATGAGACCACAGTACAGTTTATTCTAACAATAAGTTTCTGTTAAATGTTGGATTTTAAATAACAGGTACTTCTAAAATTGATGCTTCCTGAATATGTCTGGTTCAGAAGTCTAATTTCTGAAGAGCAGCAAATCATTTTTGTGAGACCCGTGACAGTACCGCTCTCAGGTGCTGTGCTTACAGAGACTGCCCTCAGGTGGCATTAACATCTTGATGCAGGATGCATTGCAGAATCCTCTGTTAATCATGCCAGCATAACAATGGGGAAAAAAGAAAACCTGCATTACTGCTGAAAGTTAATTTATTGATCATTTACGGTTATGTGAACTAAGACAATGTATATTAGAGTCACAGCCTTGTTTTTTGATCAGTCCACAGAGGTCTCGTAGTTAGCAGGTGAAAGACCATCACAAGACCTTCACAAACATCCAAGATTCCAAGAAAAAAAGAAAATAATGGAAGATGTTGCCAAGATTTAATTGCAGCCATTTGGATGAATGAATATAGGAAGGTCTATGACATGTTTTGAAACAGACTCAAACAAAACCTTATGATTAGATTCAGGGAACTGTTGTAATGAAATCATTCCAGTAACAGCAGATTGCTATTTTGGACTATGTTTTAAAAACTCTCTAAAATGACTTCCAAATGTAAATTTGAGGGGCTCTTTTTTGGCTTTGTTTTGGAGGAGGAAAAGGAGGAAGAGGATGAGGAGGAAGAAGAAAACACACTAAATGAACCAGAAATTAGTTCAACCTAGTTGGTTGGGAGCCAGGTCCTTCTGGCAAAAAAAGTACACTCAGAGTGAAATAACACATTCTGATAAAATATGCATTGCCAGTCCTTCAGTAGGCTTAATTTGAAGGCTCTGCAATGTAGATAAAAATTCAGAAGTCTCAAGACTTAATCCTTTATTAGGTCATTTACTGTCTCTTCCTCTTCCCTAATCTGATGATCTTCAGCAGAAAAGAGGTTCAACTAAATATTTTGAAAAGAAAAATTAGTAATTTAAAGTATGTAAATGTAACTTATGCTGGGAGAAAAATCAGCTGGCTATAGGCGCATGCATAACCAAACAGGGAAAGCAGTGATCATCCCAAAGCCTTTTGATTGCTTATCAGAGCTTGCTTCAGTTGCATTAAGCCAAACTGGTACTGCCTTTCTCCTTTTGCGCTCTGCACACTGTTAGTGCTCACCTGCAGCTTTCCTTCCAAAATAGCCCATTACATGACTGTACAGATCCCTCAGTGGAGCCTCTGCTGGCATTCTGTTCTGCCTCTGTGGGGAAACATTTGCCTTCGGCTTCGAAAGAGCATGTACAACTGTTTTATAAACACCACCCAGGGAGCCCTGCTGTTGTGCCGACTCCTGACCTGGTGCTCTAAAGGCACTACGACCTTGGAACTGACTAACAGCAAGACCTTCTTTCTGCAACACAGCTGCTTGAGTTTCTGCAGATTCCTTAACTTGCTTGCTGCCAGCTGAAGCAGTATTGACTGCATCTAGATGCCTATATATTCCAGGTCTAATCAGCTCTGTTGCAGCTGATGAGCTACTGCTTGCACTGGTATTGCTGTTGCTGCTACCACTACTGCTACTACTGAAGCCACCGAGTTTACGAAGTCTTGCTTTCCAAGCAGCCTCTTTATTCTCAAGAGGATTGTAAAACTGAACCGATTCTGTAGATGGCCTAAAAGTAACATGAACGCTGTTTCTTTTTTTAGTTGTTATTTTCATGATTTTGGCCCTATGAGTTACAGTTTCAGATATACTTCTTTTAGCTGGTGCCAGTTTGCTTGTGCCTGTGATGTGAGGCAATTCTTTAGTAAGAATTTTCTTTGCATGGACAATACGCAAGTTGGTCGCTTTTTCATTACACAGGGCACTTTTATGCTTTTCAGCTACTGGTGCTTCCATAACTAAATCTACATCAGTTTCAGTGGCTGCTTGCCTGTACAGATATCTCTTCCCTTCTTTGCTGCTAGGACTACTTGACCCATGATCAAACACACTCTCATATTGTTTATCAATATCTAACTGTCTGGCTTTATTGAGTGCTTGATTTCTTGTAAAAAAGTCTACTTGAGTAGGGGAAATATTACTTATAAAGCCACTTGGGTTTTGTTCTAGTAGCAGCTCTGTGTTATTGGCTCTTTCTGCAACAGTGTTGCTAGTTGTGCATTGAGCAGTCTGATCTCTATTTTCTAATCCGTCCAGTGGTAATCTATTGTTCCTACTTACTGACGTATCAACTTCATGAGCAGATGTCTCAGATTTATCTATCTCAAAGTTACTGCAAAGTTCTTCTTTTTCTTTATTAAGATATTCTCTCAGAGAGGAAAGGAGATCATCTTCACCTTCAAGGTCAACATACTGGCTTTGTTCAAAGGCAGTGTTTGCAAATTCTACCGGCCCTATTAAATGACAAAGATGGTCATAAATACTATCCCCAACTTCCAAGGAGGACTCTCTGCTATTTGTATCAGTGATATGGCTTTCAGTGGATCTATGTATTGAAGAGGTCTCAGTGGAATTCTGTAAGCTTGGAGCATGATGGGATGAACTGTCAATGACAGGAACTGCACCTTTGGCTCGTTCAACTGCAAATGGTTCCAGGATGTCAGAGGTGCTGCTGCTTCGTGGCAGAGGCTGTTCTTCATTCAATGCACCAAAAACTTCACTTGGAGCATCCTCACTCTGAGAAAAATGTCTTACTCGAGGTGGACGTGGAAGAATTTGAGCATCATCAATGTCTGTAGGAAAAAAGTATATGTAACATGCACAAAAATTTACATATAGAGACAATATATATTTACCACTACATCCTAATGATGTGACTTTAAAAGCCAGAAAAAATCAGAACCTTGTTTTCTTAGGTACAACATAAACACTTTTTCCAATACTAGAGTGTTAAAAACGCACGGACGTAATATCCAGTGCAGAATGTAATATAAATGAGTTAGACCATCAGAACACAGTTTTAAATGTTAACATGCATGAGAACAAACAGTGAGGTCATGGAACATTTGGAAATACAGTTAAAGCTAGAGCTGTGCCAATAAGTTCAATAATTCAACCAATATTATTCCAGCTAGCTTGTTCAGGAAATGGTTATTGGAATACAAATCAGCTCAACAGCAGTACTCCCTTTGTGGAATTTACATCTTCAAAAAACGGGCAATTCCAAAGACAACAAGGATGTTTTTTGGAAAATTTGTCTGTTGAAGTGGCAAATCATTAATTAAAATATGTATATGTGTATATATATAAATTACCGCGATTTCCAAAAGAATACTATAACACAATTATAAGTATTTTGACAGTTTACATCTAAGGACTATAAAGCTTTTAAATTACAAGGAAGAGCTGGCCCTATACAAAAAGGATGACTATACACAACAGAAAATTTAAAGATATACCCTTTTTCCCCAGAAGAATGTTTTGTCTCTCATCTTCAAAATACGAAACTAAATACCTAATGAAGGCTTACCTCCTGCTCTTCTTCCAGTTTTACTCCAGCAATGTAACATTTACGAGTATTACAGAATTAAGTACTCTGATACCAAAAGACATCCTGCAGCCTCACAACAACAAACATTAGAGCAAACCCACTTTTGTTTATAAAAATATCAGAATTTGTTATTACCATTTAAATTAGCGATTCCTTGTTTCTGTTGAGACTCTTAATATGATAGTGTCAGTAAAAATCAGTTAACTGTAATGAAACCTGCAGTTCCAACATGGATCACCTAGGAATTGTACAGAAGTATCTTCAGCTCATTTCATATCATCCACAAAAATAAAGAACCTTCATGCATCTCTTCAGATTTCCTACTATGTTATAGGAATACTATATACTATCAAATTACCACTGTAAGCAAGAGTAAATATCCTCTACAGACGAGTAAACTAACTGCTATCCCTTCTGGTCCTTCTATGAGATAAGCACTTAAAGAGCAAGGAAAAACCAGTTTACTCAATTTTCTGTTGGTTTCTTTTTGATGGAATCCTTTATTCCCTAGATTAATTTTTTATTACCTAGTACTTAAAAAGTTGTAGAGATGCTTTCAAATTCAGGGATAACAGTAAATAGCTTAAATGAATACCAGCAAGAGTTATTTGCCACAACAAACAGACTTACCTTGTTGTTCTATCTAGATGATTTAACTTCAGGACTGCAATGGTGAATTTACTTAATAACAGAAAAAATTTAGGCCCCCTTCCCTCCCCTAACTTTGATGTGTTACAGTTAAAATAAAGTAACTATGTATGTAATTACATTTAAAAAATATTTCTATTATTACTAAATATTATATAAAATATCACTATTTAATATTATTAGTTAATTTATCTCTATATATTTCAGTAATATTGAATATTGATAATCTGAAGTCCCCTTAAAACCTGTTTTGAACTGCTTACACTTTTCTGAGAATATTAGAGATGGAGCTGCATTTTCTTATATTCCCCTTCATAACAAAGCATATAAAACAGATGAATATGTCTGCACTTAACTAAACATGTGTTCCAAGAAGATGAAAAGTGCTATTTCCATGCTCAATTTTTCAAAGAAGTTAAAATTTGAGAGTAACAGTTTGACCTCATACAAAGTTTACTGAACTGTAAAGAAGCTATTAGACAGGAAATTGAGACATCTATATTGCAAAAAGAGAATAGACATCCAAGCTATCTCAGAAAACAAACATTAACTGAAAAATCATCAAATACAGCAGAATCTATTGTTCCTTCTCTCTTCAGCTTTGATAAGCAACGAATTTCCCATCATTGTTCTCGTTCAACTTATTACTAACTACATGAACTAACACCCTCTGAAATGAATCATGTCTCTCTCTAATTGGAACTGTTATTTCAAACTCTCTACTGACTTAGGTAGAGATTAACACAAGTTATGCTAATGTAGTCTAAAGCTATTTCTTACAGCTGTAAAGAAGGGACCACAGGATTCAGTCAAAAGTATGCACAATGATATATATGAGATTAATACATGCAACTGTGATACAGTGATCTCATCTTGAGCCCTCAGTATGCATTTTTCAAATCTACTATAAACTCAACCTTATCTAAATCAGCAGCCTAGTAATTCCATGCTGCGCATGCAGGCAGTGATCATGACCTTCTAGGATGTTAAAAATAATCGGACAGAGAACTCACAATGCACACAAAGCAGCTCCACACATTGAAATAAATTCAGCTAGATTCATTTCAATGTTGATCCAAAATTAATTTTAGGTGCTCACATATTCATGACAAGCACATACAAGTACACATCTTCAAACAAATATGTGCTTGCACCAACAGAGATTTGTTTTTTGTAGAATGGGAAGAAACGAAGGAAATGAAAAATGTTATTGTGATACCAGCACTGAAAACACAGACAATATTTAAAAACCCACATGAACTGCTCCTTCTCAACCAGGGCTCACTTTTGCACACAGGTGTACACTCAGACTGGAACACCTTAAACTCCCAAGGAGTTTGTGTGCCAGCAGGCTGACCCTGTGCATCTGACCCTGAGCACCCCTAGGAGAAACACTGCCCTGATTCCCCATACGGTGCAGTAAGGAAAAGATTGTAATTGGTACCTCTGGCCAATCTCACACAATCACTACTGTCCTAAGTCAGCCTTGCCTCTCCTTTTGCTGCTGGAAGGCAGAAAGAGAAGGCAGCTTTTCAGCATCAAGTGTGAGACAGAAATGCTAAAATACAAACTCATGGAAAGCCACATTCTGACAAGACAGCATGAGTGCTAATAGAAGATCCCTGTATAACACTGGGGCAGGTTTGTATTTCATCATGCAAAGACTGTTTGGGAAGTGGAGGAAAAACTCCATGTTTTGCTTCTTAGCTTTCAATAGTTGGGGTTTTTTTTTAAGAGAACACAGGCATTCTGTGAGTTTCTGGGATTAAAGAATAATTACAGCCATACTGACATTACAATTATGATTTCTTTCTATTTCATCTTAATGATTACTTAAAGATTTAGGAGTAAGGTTGTAAAGGCATAATAAGCATCTCACTTTCACATTAATACTCAACTCTTTTAGTCCCAGTAGATAAAGAAAAATCTCCCACCCACAAATAATTAGTTTGCCCACTGCTTTTAGGAATCTTGTCTACATCTCACTGACACTTTTTTTCAGGTCTTGTACCTGAAAATCCCCAAGGGTTACAAAATGAATGGTCATTTCCCTAGTTATCTTGTAAATGTGTAAGACTGAATTTCTTATGATTCTGACAGGCTAAAGGAAAGTTCTTTTTAGAAATATTGCAGATTTGCAACAGATACACTATACCAAATCACTTTATTAACTAAACACCTTGGAGCACAAATCACTTCCACTTTCCAGATACTACTTGAAAAGTTGCAAATATTCTGTACATAGAAATTCAGCATAACCGAAACTACATGAAGGAATTACAATCTTAGGAAAATCATCCTCTATGATGCTAGATGACTGGATGTCAATATTGAACTTCTGCAATATATTTTATTAATCTACTGACTGACCTTATGTCTCACAAATTATAATCAGGTTTTCTGCCTTACCCTTGAAAATTAATATACAGTACATAAGGTAAAAGCTTGGTCATAAACGCCTTCTGTTAGACTATTTTCCCAGATTCACCAGTGTTTAGTGGGTCCACCTTTCAATGATGAGTTTCACAGCTAAAAAGAAGCTGAAAACTACTTCCAAAACCTTTATATTAGGCAGCCTATTATTCTGGAATAATTTGAAATGTCATCTCCTTCAAGTTGCGTTGGATTGTAAAGTAATTTTGGATAACAGGGATACTCATATAATCCTGTAATAAGATGAACAGCTGTCACAACTACCTAAACATCATTCATTACCTAGAACACACTTACAATAGAAACAATTTGATTCCTTCCCAAATTACATGTTGTATGTGTGGAAACAGAAGGCTTTCAGAAAATAATATATTTAATGTAAGAAGAAAAGGCAAGAAAATGATAAAGCTTCGTGTTTAAATAAAAAGGGAAGAAGAAAGAGAGCACAATTAAAAATGCAGAAAATTAAAAGAGCAAAGTGCACTCTGATCCAGTGGACAGTGTTTCTCTTCCTCTGCTATTTCCCCATCAACACCCTAATAGCTTGCTTTTTTTCACTAGAGCTTTTTAGTTTTCTGGCAATGGTCAAGATTCTTGGGCACATCATGAAGCTGCTGCAACACTCATTTGTTTGAGAAGACATCAAAACCAGGAAGGGCTTAGGACTTTTTGTGTGTTAGAAGTGCAATGGCCTGTAATGTCACTTTACTTTTATAATTACATTGGTCATGTACTTTTTGGATTGGATGATTATCAACATAAAGAATAATAGCAAGAGAGCCAGTAGGTCTGGGACACGTTAGAAGTAATTTGCAAGCCAGGACTTTTCAGGAACATGGATGATAAAACTGACTACAAAAGCACTTCTGCTTGGTTCAAGAAAGGGTAATTAAGTAGCAGTGATTATGTGATTAAATAATATTTCACTGTGAAAGCTCATAACCCTCCTGTGGGTGTTCTTAAGGTCTTCATTAAGCACTGACTATTTCCAACAACACTATGGCCAGGTAGGAGACATTCTCTAATAGGTTGTTTACGTATCATCCCTATAAAATCTCTATCTTCTAAGTTATAATCACTTGTATCTCGGAAGAGATACTTTTTGCACTCATACTTTTATTATTTATTGAATATAATTTGCATTTTTTAAAATTTTGTTTGGGGTGTCAAGAATTGTATTCAAATACTTTGTAATTATTCATTGTGAAAGTTTGGTCTGTCTAGAGTGGGTTCTTTGAACTTTCTTGATTTTTCAACAAGGTTTTCAGGCCGAATACTAAGGCATCAAGTTTCTGTTTCACAACAAGAATTTTGTGACACGTGACAAATGACAAAATACAATTATGAAGATACAGTTCTTGGTACTTCTTGGGTAACAAAGACAGGCAGGAGAGACAGAAAAGAAAAAAAATCTTTCATAAAAATATTATTGTCATGAAGTCCTTATATTTGTATGCCATTTTGGCTATATACAGTCCTCCCACTGTGCCTTCATTTTTTTTCCACTCATTGATACAAAGGCATAGTCAGCCTTAACACATTACAAATTTATACCTATGAAATATGTGGAAAAAATTACTTTATCTGAAAACATGTATTTTAGAAGTCTGTGCTAATTCTAGTTGTTTAATCTATTTGTTCAAAGAAAAGTATCCAAAGTAAGCTACTGTCCAACTTGTAGCCAACCACCCTGCTGGACCAAACAATGTTGAGGAAACCACAATCCTAAAAAATTGATCATTTGGAAAATAACACCAAAACATCACACTTGAGAATTCCACACTACAGATTTTTTTTTCCATGTTTTTATATAGTAATGAAAAACAGGAAAACTCTAAAGGATATTATATGATACCATATTCTTTTTTCATGGGAGCTAAAATGTATCATCATGGTTGTTCACACAACATCTATGACACTGAATTAAAAAAATTTACACAGAAAGATGTAAATGGCAAATTAAAGTAAAATTTCTTCCTTTCCCTCCCTCACTCATCCAAAATAAAAATTTTAGATTAGTTGTAGTCTCTGGTAGACAGATGTGGTATTACTGCTTACCAATAAATTGGAAAAGTGGAAAGATTTCTCAAAATTTCTCTTTTATGATAATAAACATTGGCACAGCACTAACTTCTAACAGTTCCAGAATGAATTGTAAAATAGCATGGTATCTTACAAAACTCAAAATATTAATTCTTAATCTCTTCCCCTCTCCCACCATCCCCAAAGTATTTTTACTTTGAAAAATTTAATGGTTTAGCAGAATTTGAAAGCAGAAGGTTTAAAAAAGTGATAAAGGGGGTGCAGAAATTAGCAGAGGTGGCACTACCTGAAAGCTCATCAGAAAGGGGAGTGAGAACAATATCAGGCAAGAAGGGTTTGGAAGTATGGATCAGAACAGGAGCACTTTTAGCACTGCGTATATAGGCCGATGGCAGAGCACATTCACCAATGGATCGGCTTCTCATGGCTTTAAAAAGGAAAAGAAAGAAGTGGGGAAGGAAAAAAGAAGAGTGACTATAATGAAAGGCTTGTGTCACAGAAAAAGCAGCAACAGAGAAAACAAAGATAAAAAGGAAGAAAGTTCAAAAATTAAAACATTTCAGCACGGCAGGTATTGGCAGAGCTGTAAGAAAGAAAAAAAATCAGTGGACACATAAGACATTCTGAGTTTTCAACTTTTATGTAAAGCAGCAACAATGCCTTTATTATGACGATTACAGAGATTTTGCATTTGAAATCAAGAAGCTAATTAACACATTTTCCCACTGCATCAGGGGTTGAAAAATCAAAGTTAAAGTTACTCCAGAAGCACTCTGAATTTGATTTCTTTAGCAGGAAAAGTAACTTGTACTACATTTGTATTTTTCTAGTTTCCTTTGATTTTATCCTGAAAATGTATCACACCTATGTATCACACATGTGCCCATACTCTTGAATTCACGTTCCCCAAAAGATATTCAAAATCATAAGGAGAAAATGATCAGTTCTGTGTGGAGAAATTTGCAATAAAGCTTGTTATAGTTCCACATTAAAAATGAAATTACTGAAGTGAAATGTTTTAACTATGAAAAGCATTAATTTTTTTATCCATGGGGTCTGGCTTTTAATTGATACTGGATAAATCTTGCCAAACTGACATTTATTCACATTTTCATATCTCACATCCTGCCAACAGTCCTACAGAATAAAAGATGTGCATAAGAATTGTGGTATTACAATCAAGGTTATATCTGCAGCTTTTCTAATAGATTTAAATGAATCTTTCACATTTGCTTTTCTCTGTCAGAGTAAGACACAGCAAGAACTAATACTGCATTCAACGTCAAAGTACTCCGGAAGTTCTTAAAAAAGTAATATTCTATGCTTCAAGTAACTTTGTTTCATACCGTTGCTAATTTGCTAACTTGTTTTAAAATCATTGCTGATAAAATTCTTTAAGGAAAATTCAGAGTATCTAGCATAAATATTGTCACTGCAATACTTAGTCTGAATTTTTCTCTCTATATTTTCAAAACAACACGGAATATAAACTTAGGATCCTAGTGCTCCTGATCTGCATGGGAATCAAATGTACGTGAATGGAGTGCAGTGAAAGTTGAGCACATCACACTTCAAAACCAGGTTAAAGAATTGTTGCAACAACATGCAGATAACCTGGGTAGGTCACATTGAGCGCAAAATACATTTGACAAATGCAGCACAACTTAAGTGGAGTTTTAAATTCAGTTTGAAAAACAATTCAGAAAGACAATCCTTTTAAGACTGAAGCAATGTTCTTTGTATGTAGTAAACTTTGTATGACAGAAACTTTTTTTAAAAAGGCAAGTATGTGTAAGGCTTTAGTATCAGTTTGATTAAGAGATACAGTAATAAAATTCAGGATATAGTTATAGTTAGATGCATTACATTCATCACTGTGAATCTTACAATGAATGTAGAGAAGAGAAAAAAATAAAAACCACATAGTAAATATTAAGGATCTTTTCCAGGCTAAATTATTCTAAATAAATAAAGCTTTTGATATTGGATACTGTGTTGATTACAAATCTTGACATAAAGTGTTCCTTTTAATTTGACTGGATTTTTTTCCACCATATTACATTCACTTAAATAGTTAGGTGGAGGCAGACAATATCAGAACATGTAGATGTCTGATAGTTTATAACCTTCCACTATTGGAAGGTTATACAAAAAAGCAGAACAAAAGGTGAGTAAATTCTACACAAAAGCAGAACAATAGGTGAGTAAATTCTTTCTGACACAATATTTTTATAGGACCAGAACCTGCTGCCTAAGCCAAAACTCTTTTATCTAACCTTACAGATTTTTCAACCCATATGCATACTATGCTTAAAGGCCCTTTCCAAAAATTATTTAAAATAAGCTCAAGCTAAAAATGTACACATTGCATATCAAAACAGCTTTGATTTTGTACTTGAGTAACACTCACACTCATATTTGGTGCAGCAATAAATGTGTGCTGGCATGATGATGGCTGAAAAAATAGAGGTGCAAAGATGTACACAAAAATGTGTACAACATAAAACAGATGAAAAAGAAACTCCAGCTTTTTCTTACCATAAAATATTCAACATGCACATCCCCCCTATTCCGATATTAAGAGTATATATTACTCACAATCAAAGGGAATGTAATTCAAATCACATATCATGCAACATATTTAAGGTCTGACTCAATTCCAGACTTAGCCTGCAAACCTAATAATAAACTGAAGATCTGACCAGCAAAGTGTACTAGATTTTCCTTATTGTGATCACTTTTTTATTATTTGACCCTGAATTTATGGCATAAATTAAAAAACAGCTGAACAGCTCTCTTTGCAGACCAGAGAGGCAGTAACAAACAACTATTTTCAGGCTATGATATATGTAACATTTAGTAACATTTTCCTCATTAGCATCTAAAAAAACTGAGGAGTTTGGGATTCTGGTTCTGGGAACTCTTTTTGGATTTATCGTCTTTTAGAATCATTCTAGCAATGCTGGGATGCTTGTCCACAGTTGGTATTCTGCAACATGAATAGAGTTGAAATTTTAACTGGTTGCAGTAATGCAAACTTGGCTTATTAATATCAAATATGTAAGATAATTGGAGGAAAGGAACAAAACCATGGAAGCTAAAGTGCAGTGAAACTAAAATCAGATTACTTTGCTGCTAACCAGGTCAATATATAGCTTGATTAGGATAAATTCCAGTCATTTCAAGGCTAACATCATATAAATAGCCATCTTTCAAATTGTGGCAAAACAAAAGCATTAATAAATTGACCAAACAACATAACCTTCTGACACAATATCTGAAATATTAACAATTTGTGAAGGAGAAATTTTAACATGAACTTTACCTTGTTAAGACAATTAAGATTTAAAACAAAATCACCATTACACTTAATCACAGACTACAGAAAAGCAGAAATTACATTTTAAGTATCTGTGATCCATGAGGAAAACTAGGTGCTGTCAGCATGAGATAGAGGAAAAGCTGTGTAGCATTTGAATGTGCAAAAACAACAGGAAATTGTGGAGTAGGGACTTCATTTTCTCTCATTTCTGTATGTCTTACAGCACAATTAATTCTCCCACATAAAAGCCTTAGGAGAGAAAAAAAATTAAAATGGAGAATTTTGAGGAATAGTCAAATAGAAACTTTGCCTAAATAACCTCTGTGACTTAAAGATTTTAACTACAAATATTTTTGGAAAAAGAAAGAAAATGTTAATTTCTGAAAAGCTATCACAATTATGTATTCAACTGCTGATATGCATCCCAAATTTTTAAAATTGTGTCAGAATGCACCTACTTCCAATAAGTATCAGTGAAGCAACAACACACAATGACCAAAGATACTACTGCTATAAAGAAGTAAGAGATAGTCCTTAAAAGGTTCTTCTTTAAATACAAAATTAGAATCAGCTTAACTTTCCTTCATGTAAGCAACAGCACTGAGATCATCAAGATAAGACAACAGAATAAAGAAATTTGTAGTCCAGTTCCTGTTAACATAGTCTAAGAAAATTATATGAACCCAAATAAGTCTTCTTTTGAGGAGTTCACCTAAAGCATTGTTCAGTATAACTCATTTATAACACAGCAAAGAGTATCTGCAAGTAATAAAATTCAGAAATAGGTGACTTCAGAAATGGAGAATTGCACACATCTGTCAATCTTTCATTATTGCAATATTCAGTGTGTAGCAAAAGACAGCACATATAATAAACTATGCAGACTTATGAATATTTTCCCCACTCTCCTTTGCATGGTTTGAAAGTACTCAACCCATCTTCTGCAGTGTATGAAAACACACATTTAAGAAATCTTCTCTTACCCACCTATCAGCACCATAGCTCAAACCACTCCAGCTTTTTTCTCCTTCATATACATAGTACAATTTTCCAATCCAGCTTAAGCATGTGATCAAATTCATTAAGAATTAATATAGCAAATGCATTACTTTCATTTACAATAACTGTAATTCTAGTAAACACAATCCATTCAGCTACCCTCAAAGCACATAAAGCTGCATAATTTATGCTTTAACTAATGTGCAAATCATTCTAGATAGCACACCTTTGTCTAGACAGCACACCTTTGTGGAAAGAAGCTATCCACATTGCTGCAGAAGTCAGCTATTAATTCCTCAGCCTTTCTCAGATGTCACTTACCAACAGTTTTCTGGCGCACGATGCTCCTCGCCTTCTCTGTTCCCGGAGAGCCGGTGGTTGTGGCGCTGCGCTGCCGCATGGGTGCCTGGCCAGGCTGGTCCCGGCTCCAGCCTCGGGAAAAGGACTTATCAACAGAAGACTTTGGGAATTCATGCCCAACTCCTGCCAAAGTAAAATTGCAAATCTAACTCACTTCTATTCTGCTTTCACCAGATGATAGAGGTATTAGTTCAAAAAATTTTAAAGCTGGATGGAATAAATTAAGTTACCAAAGCAAGTATGAATTCAAAAGCTCAGCCAGCACTAACTCTGAGGGATACTCAAACTTTTTCAGAAATTTTAGTGCTATTAAACTACTGTAATTTTCTTTTCTGAAATAATAGGCTTACACAGGTTTTAGTCTGATACTACATGTAACTTTTCCTTTGCTGCTCCTATCAGATAAGATACACAAATTTATACATTTCAAAACATTAACACTGGCGGCACAGGTTTCCAAGTAATTTTGCAACATTGAGGAACATGAAATAAGGATAACATCATTTTACACAAAATGCAAAAGCAAAAAAAAATTAGATGATAGGCTCAGAGAACTTTGGAAATTGGCAGAAAATCCTATAGTAAGATTAAGATGAAACAAATTCAGATTTGACATTTATATGGAAGTAAATACAGCTCATATGAGGAGCTATCAAAAATAGCTAGATGGAAAAAAAAAAGTGAAGCAAAGAATATATGTAATGTATTTCCTTATCCAGATTGAGCTCATTAATAATCCAAACTGACACAATTACAATCATTAAAAGGGCATCTCTTTGGAAAAGCATGTTCATTAGTCCAACATTTTCATTATTATTAGCAAACAAATGCAGGGGCAAAGAAATTTGGCAGAATTTGTATGATATCTATTAATTCTAAAGCTGGACTTGACTCTGCAACTCACATTCACTAATGGAGGCTTTCTCTGAAACTTTGTCACTGAAGGTTAACATAAACTTTCTTCATGTTGCTAAGATGATTCAAAGTGCTTTTAAAAGTATATATTCAAACAACTGTACACATTCTTATCCTATACTAGACTGCTTTTTTTTGCTGGTTTTTTTTTTGTTGTTGTTGTTTTTTGAGGGAGGTTGGCTCTGTTTTGGGGTTTTGCTTGTTTATTTTCTTGGTGTTTGTTTTGTTTAACCTAGTTTTTTTTTAAGCCAGAAAAAGAAGAAAGCTGTGTAGTACAGGAAAACAAAAAATGCATGGTCTGGAATGACCTCTCAAGGGCAACTACAGAGAGATGTATTTCTGCCCAGTTATCACAGAGCAGAAACCAAAACAAAATGCTGAATAATGACTCTGCTTAAGATGAGGCACAGAAGTATGTGAAATATTTTAAGCAAAAAAAAGCCTATAGTAACATCCTCTTTAAGAGAGGGAATCCACATAAGTTGCTTCTCACTGACAAACCTCAAGATAGTACTAGGAAACACTTTCCCTCAGGTTTGACTGAAGAGATAAAAAGTAGCCTAAAAATAACATGTTTTTACATCTTTGTTACACACCCTAAATATAATCCTGCCTCTCTCTATTAGATCACAATGCACCTTTAAAAGGAGAACATTTTCACTGCTCATTGTTTTACAAAAGTGAAAATGAAGCAGAAGGTCTGTCTTCAAACTGAGAAAACAATCCAGGTTTTGAAACTTTCAATCCAGACCTCTATCCAGGAAGACAAACAGCCTGTCCCTTACCAATTCCAGAACTGTGCCATTGTAAGCAGCCACCTCCTCTCCCCATATTATCTCTTACAGAGTATTTTATGCATTTTTTAGGAATCAGCTTAAAAACAGGCACCACTCATGGATTATTAAGCGATACTTTCTCTTATGTAGCCCACAAGCTCCCATTGTAACCAAGTCTGTCTTCATGAAGGGCTAGTGATCAGTTAGTACCAAACAAAGCTATGTTCACCTTACATTTCATCTTTTAACATTTTAGGACCAATATTCCAATTTTTCTTGTAATGGTTTAGTTTTCACGAGCTGAGTAGTGTTTGTTATTTTCAAGAAGTTATGACTGGGACTCAACTATTTAATTTCTTTGATAAAAAGAGAAAGGCATAACCCACTATGATGTAACATTTTAGTTTAAATTCAACACACTTTTAAGAACTACATTCCATATGTGCCTATTTGCAGAAATAACATGTTGTGGCAATTCTAAAAAAGCAGATTTACCTTAAAGAAACAGGGTTATTTCAAGTGATAGAGATGCCTAATTAGGTATATAAAAAAGTGAGATCAAAATTATCCTCTGCCCAATACCAGCTCAAATTCAAATGATGTACATACAATTTTGTCTTACCTTTGCCTTTGTGCTTTTTCTGCTTCTGCTCACTTAATTTATCCAGTGGCAGGTCACTGAGGTCCAGGCTATACAAGTTTCTAGCTAACACTTTAGTAAGTGTCTCCATTGTCAGTGACCACTCAGTGGCCAGCTCTTCCCAGTATGTCAGTGATGACATTACAGACAGCAAATCATCCCAAAGTTCTCGAGAAATGTACACATTTAGATTTGCTTTGATCCAAGCTACTATAAGAGTCTAAAAGAACAGAGAAAAGTTGGATTGTGAACATAAGCTGACAACACTCAAATGTTACTATTTCAAAGAAAACTTCAAACTGCCACAGAAATTTCTGTGTAGTCCTGATATTCTTTTCCTCACCAATACATACAGATTTTTAATGAATTATCAAGTGTTAACACAGGATTCTGACTTAAATACAGGAACAACTGGTTTGACCCATTATCTTGTGCATTCTTTTTTGTTCTGCTAAAGTAACTGGAGACTTCATGGATCCTAGTCACTGAGAACACACCACAACAGCACTTTGCAGCTATCAACTTTGAAAGGATTTGCTACAGCTTTCTGTAAGTAATTACAGAATTCTCTAAGAAATAAAAAAATCCATCAGTTAGGCATGGGTAACACAGAAGATTTCCCGCTGACTTGAGCTAATTTTGCTATGGCAGCAGGCTAAAACTGCACACACTGACAGTTATCTTCGCCAGTTACTCCAACTCAACAATTCTTGGATTTTACAGTACCTGAAATACTCTTGTCACAGTGTCATTAAAATATAATGTTACAGAAAGTAACAAATGTAACCAGGTCTTTGACCCACACCATTCACATTATCTGGGTAACATAACAGTGATACAAGATGACAAACTAGCCAACAGTGGTTACCGTATCCAATCTATTAATGAAAATTAGGCTGAATTAATTCAAGTGAATTTATGTTTACTTGCCTGGAAAAGAGGTCCTGCAAGTCTTCCAGCTAAAGTGGAGTTTTTTCTTCCTTGATACTGCAAGAAAGTTTGGGGTGGTATTTTCAGCACAGATTCAGTTACCCTGAGCAGCACAAGTAGCATCTGCTCCCTGCAAAACAGTATTAAACTTAAGAGTTACCATTTTGTCATACCTCTGTATATACCAAGGTATTTTTAAAAGTAATAATCAAGTCTTATTTGCTCAAATACATTCCAGAAATGTCATAACGATTACAAAGAGCCTAACTTGATTATTGCAAAAGAAATTATTCCAATCTTTTTTTACACTTAAAAGTGAGGAATCCCTGTTGCCCTGTAGTATTTTCTTCCAAGTAATTTAATTGCTATCACCTTCAATAGCCTGAAATTAGAGGGAAAGTTTTAACTGTCTTTTCAATCTGAGCTTTTTCTTTTTCCATTAATTACAGATTTTGTAATTTTATATTATCATTAACATACTTCACCAATTATTTTGCATGGCACAATCTTTGTCATTGTAATCTACAGTCACTTCTTTACACTGATGCGAAACTGGGAAAGAAAATACCAATCTAGTAGAATCTGTTTACTATTATCACTCCCAAATTTCCCAGTGGCCAGCTAAATTGGCCCCTCAAAAGAGGAGACAAGCTTTACACGACACATAGTGCCAGCTTTACTTACCCAGAGTTCAGGACAGATTGAAGATAAAGTCAAGATAAAACTGAATAAATCAGACATTTGAAATCCCCTTGCTACTTCTTCCTTGCAATGGAGAATGGTGGCAATATAGCACCTGATCACAGACTACTATTTAAAGGAGTGGGAAATAACAGAAATTCCTTTAAAGCAGGGTCTCTTATACCTGCTAGGCACTGTAAGAACTGGAAAGGCGTGACACAGTTACACAGTACACAGACTCCTGTATACAATTACAGGTCAAGAACAACACACATGTGATTGCAATAATTATCCATGCTTGTCTGGGGCTTTTGTGTTTATTTTTAAATAAGGCTGTGAAGCTTCATATGTTTCAATATTTTAATGCTTTGATACATGGGCAAAATGCTCTGCAAAAAATCATCAGTAGCTCCTTAATAACAGTCTGTATATCTCAGATTAGTCTTTTTGCACTGAGGTCTAAGCTGCCACAAATTAACTAGGAGCTTGCTAGAAGCTTTAAGAAAGCAGATAACCTCCCCTGCGCTAAGTTGTCTGTGGTGTTCAAGTTTGTGTATTTACTGATTTAGAGGAACTGGTTCATATAACCAATACCACTCTACCGTGTTTACTACCAAGTAAATTTTCACATTTGTGTTGTGAACTAATAATCTAAGATAAAAGCATTAGCATTTTACCATGTCTTCTTGTCCATAGTCACTTGGACAACCATGTGGCGGTAGATATTGAGAACGCGTTTGCACATATCAGTGTGTTCATCCAGCAGAACTTTAAATTCATTTGCAGGTTCAAGAAAAAATATATTTGAAGAATTTATTATAAAAACCTGTAAACAGAAAAGAGAGGATGTTGTGATCCTGAAACACTTTGATGTTTCCAGCAATTCAGTTGGTAGAACCAGGAAGAAAAAAAATCTATAACAGAAAATCTTTATAAGAAAAGGTTGCATATGCACACAGAAGTGCATGTTTAAATATGTCATTTTGAAGTAATGATTAAGCAACAACGAGACTGATCTTTTCCCCATTTTTTCTACAAAATTTATTTGTATATTTTTGTTCTCATAGATGATTCAACAAACTACTCATATGATTAGTTTAATATGATGGAAAAAAATGTCCCAGTAAGAAGTCCACTGCACTAAAGTTCCACCTCTAAGCCAGGAACTGACTAGTACAATATATGGTAAACTGCTTGAAATAGTCCTGGTACACTGTGTGTGCTTCAGCATGACACAGTCTGCATTATGTTCTGGGAAACTAAAGCATTCATCCCACTGGGATCAGTAAGGCTTACCCATAGTAGGAAACTGGACACTTTCCTGAAAGTGACTGACTTCAGTGGGCAGTAAATTAGGGCCTTCAGAATGAAAATTATGAAAAAAAGTAGGCAGGGACACTGTAGGAGCTACAGAAGCAGTTACTGAAGTGTTACTATTTTTTTATGTAAGTTTAGAAAGCACTTGAATCTCAGACTTCGATTTTTAATTTTTTTTTAACATGTACAGGAAGTCATTGGTCCCTAAGTCATAACTTCCTTCTACTGAAAGCTTTGGATTTTTAATAATTAAAAACTATTAGTATGCACTTTTACATTCACTAGCCTCAACTAATTAACCTAACCTACTCTAAATGCCTAGAAATAAGTCTATGCAAGCATAAAATGGGAAAAAAACTCAAGGCAGAAGTCTTGGATCATTGATTCACAGGGAAAATCAAACGTGGTTCCAAGTCAGGAAATCTCTCAAAATGAGACATGGTACTTGGTTAGAATGATGTCTTGACTCTGTTTCAGGCTAAAAAAAAAAGATGCTTGGCAGTCAAATGAACCTTTGTCTAAAAAACTTCAACATGGATAATCTTCAAGACATTGTCAGATGTGTAAGCCTTAGTAGTATACTGCAAACAGATACAGATACTTCGTATTTCTTTTCTCAGTAACACTTCATATTCTAGAATGTTGCTGAAAACAAAGATTATGAAGCTTAAATTATTTTAATGTATTTGAATTTAAGAGTGATTTCAGTTGCAGAGTTTATTTATATGTATAACAGTGTACAGTACAAAAGAAAACTATTCCTAAAATTATTCAAGCTGTAGTAAAAATGAGTTTTACTTAGCATGGTCACACACATTAGAAGTGAATACAGTAAAGTGGCAAATGCACATTACTTTATTTTGTTCAGAATCAATTTTCTGCTGGATATAAGAATATTATGGAGGGTAGAGTAATATACTCATCTATATGAATTTATGTGCACACACATTTACATAAAATGCACACACTTTATAACCATAAGAGCATTTCAAAGACCCTCAAATTATACCCTCCCAATTTTCCACAACTTCACCTTCAGTGAAGCATTTTGCTAAACATTTGAAATTAACATGATTCCTACCCTGTCAAACTGCCTAGAAGCTATTAGAAAACTTTTGTTAGGGTACAACTGCAACTCTTGCTCTCCTTAATGATATCACCAGAGAGTTATGGTGCCTCAGCAAACTTTTCAAACGTGATGTAAATTCAGAAAAAGATGAAAAAATATCCCAGTACACCTTATTAATAGGATTAGAAAAACTACAGAATTGGATGTTTAGGCTTTTGTGACCAATAGTGTAAAAGTAAAAAGCCTCTAAATATTCTCATAACAGCTTAATTATATTTATTTGAAGATGTTGCAGTAGCACAAGGATTATTTTTTCTCTAATATAATGCAGAGGACAATGCATGATCCAATGCAAAATTAATTTTTCATTTTATTGTGTTACCCAGCACTGGTCTATACATTGTCCTACTTCAGGTCAATAAAGATATAGTGAACCAGTGTCATTTGTCTAACCTTTATCATCATACTTGTTGCATATAAAATATTTTTAAAATTTAGAGATGCTTTAGAGATGCATAGGATTCCCTGGCAGAAGTATTGCACTACATTCCACTCTTTATGTGCTGATAACAAGAATTTTAGGTAATTTCAGATAGATAATTTAGATAAAATTAAATACCAAGTCTGTTTCATACCTGCAATACTGACTGCACTCCAGCTCGTACATTTTGTTCTTCAGAATCAATTTCAGATGTTTTATGCAAAGCGTCTTCATAACAGCCATTTCTTGTCCAGTTTGAATTTCTAACTCCATGACTGGAGTTCATCCCTTTTTCCTGAAAAATATTTTTTCTTAAAATTCCACAGAGTTTTAGACAAGTGTTTTGGCTTTATATTAAAGGAAAAATTATATAATAGGTACTAAATAATAAACAACAGCAGACAAATGCACCTGAGACACAACAATATTTCATGAGTCTTGGAGCAATTATCTTAAAGTAACTGAATGAAGTAACTACTATTTTTGTCATCCTTTTATTTGTATATAATTTTTACACAGTTGATAGTTGGCATACTGTATAATCCACATCTTGAAAACAGTTCACAAAATAATATGAAATTTTAAATTGAACTAAGCACATTAAAAAGCTACAGATAATGGATAAAATTGGTAGCTCATCCAATACATTGTTTTACCATTGATTTTCCCCAATAAATGCTCTGACACCAAAGAAAACCACAAATAAACTATCAAGGAAGCCATGTCTCTGTCTACTGGCAGATTAATGCACAAATATTAACCAATAACATTTTACCTCTTCTCTTTCTTTTCCTTTCTCTGAAGAATTATGGTCAACATTTTCATCACTATCTACAGCTGTGCACTGCATTATTTCTTCAGGTTCTTTCATAAATAAAGGTTTGTCTTCTTGTTGAATCCATTCTTGATACACCTTCACTACCTTCCTCATGGCAGCTGCTTCACATATTGGCAACAGAAATGCCTGCAAGTAGAAAAAGAAAGAAAAAAACCACTGTTACAATATGTGAAATAAGTTGGGCTCTATAATGTGCAAGTTCTAAGACATAAAGGTGGAAAAAGCCACTGTTGGATCCCCGTATTCAAACTATTGACAAACCTAAATGTTTGCTCACTTTCTTAATATGTAAACTGAAAACATGAAAAAAACCCAGATTTAAACAAGAAAGCTTATCAAGAAATACTTTGAAAGAGATGAAAATCCATATGGGTATATCTAGTTAGCACCTAGCCTGCTAAACCAAACACACATCAAAATACATAAAACACATGAGCAGAAGTTTCTTTTACAACATCCTTCCATTCAGAGGATTTGGAAAAGTGGAGTCAAACCAGCTCTAAATGACTGAGAAAAAATCAAGTGACACACAACACTGGTAGTCTTCTATCTTATTTTTAGCTAATTAAGATTTTACAAAACAGTATCCTTAAAGTGAATTACTCCCTGAAAAGATTTCATTATTATGGTTTCTACAAATCATGCATTTGAGTTGGTGTGATGGCTGATCAGTGCCCTCTTCAGAAGGTTTTCTGTACTGGCTGTACTGATAACAACTAGTCATAGACCAGAAACTTACCAAAGACCATGATGCCCTCATTATAAATTCAGAAGAACAGATAAACTACACTAACACCCAGTTTTACAGGATCTGAGCTGTGACTGATGAAAACCAGTTGCCCATGTCTTTAAGGAGGGCCCAGTTAACACAGGTAGTATGCTCACTCTGGAAACAGAGATTTCACTCCATTATCACACTAAAAAGAACTCAACTGTGTGTTACAGGATTAAACTGACAAGTTCAGTCATATACTTCCTCATCAAGTCTAACATTCTCCTGCAAGTTCATACACTTTTTTTGTACCCTCAAGTCCAAAATGCATAAAACTTGTCCTCTACAGACAATCTTTCCACCACTCAGTACCACTGAAACCTCCTCTTGACAGGAATAACTTAGTCCTCATGTTTTAGAAACATTACAAACATCTCATGTATTAGAAATTAATTTACACTGAAAACTCCTGGCTAAATAATGATGTAAATAAGATTTCACCATTGAACATGAAATCCAAATAATCTACATAAACTCACAGACTGACTTTTGAAAAGAATGGAGAAAATTGTCTTTGCTTCTTTTCACTGTGGGGACAATGAAAAGTAGACCATTGATAATTTATATTCTACATTCAATGTCTCAGACTCTGTAAACCCTTGAGTGCCAGCTGAATTTGGAAAACTCTGCTATGTCCTTCAGTAATGCGTCCAAGCTCTTGACTACAAGGGATGTGGACAAGCTTCTGACATTTACTTGCCTCATTCAAAAATATTTACTTCATCCAGATAAACAAGTTTTAAAATGTTCAGCTTTCTGCTGTTTAAAGCAATTAGTGTTGTGCATTTAACTTGAAACTTAGTATATCTTTCTTTACTATTATTCAGAAATCTGTTTGTCTTTTGATCTATAGCATGGGCCATAAAGAAAGTTTATCTTATTCTATTCTCCCAGACAGAGCTCTTAAATTACTATTAATAAAGACTCCATATTCTGGCATATGTTCTCAGTTTAAATTTGTTTTAATAGCTTCCAGTAGAGAAATACTATTTTGAGTATGCTCAGCTAACATTTCTGGTTGCAGTGAAGTCAGAAACAGAAGCTGCTACCTTTTATAGCCATCTGTCCTACTCTTCTGATGAACACTATCAAGGAAAAGACATTCAGATGCTCCTAAAACAGCTCTGTAACAGCTGCAGACTCCCACAGGAGGCTTATGTTAATCTGGTTGGCTGTGAGTTTTAATACCTACAGTGTTGATATATGAAAAGATTAAACATTCTTGTCTATGGGGAACTGTGAAGTGCAAGTTAAATGTTGCTAAACTAGCTGTTAAAGATATAAAATTAGAAAAATTAGGAACTAGGGGTATTCTACAGAGAAAGTATCTCAGAATGTTAGCTTCTTGATTTTTGAAGGCAGGATGACAAAAACCACCTGTAACTTAGTATAATGTTCTGCTTAACAAGCGATCTTCAAAGAAAATCATGACATAATAAAAATATACAATATAATAATCAAGATTCTTGCATTCTAAAGAGAGTTTTTTACCTGTCGAAAAATCTCAGTTAGAAAATTAACATTGTTTCTTTTAGAAGAGAAGACTTTCCGGACAATTTCAATATCAGTTAAATGCTCTTCATCAATACTGCAGAGGCTGGAAGAACTTGGCTCTCTCTCTGTTAGAGTACTTGTATTAGAATGAGATTGTTCTGGTTCTGCATTTCTATCCTGCTTATCAGTACTGTCATTTTTGCTGTCCTCCCTTGAAGCCATGCTAGCAGCTGCTCTCTGAAAAAAAAATTAAAATATTCCATAGTTCATTTTTAGTACAGCAATAAATCAATACAATTAAAGTATAATTTAAACAGCACAAATAATTAAAGAAAAAACAAACAAACAAAAGGATTTACTGCATTTTAAGGCTTCTAACGTCCAGCTGATTAAAAACAAATCACAAAATCTGAAAAAAGAAAGCAGCATTGCAGGTACTTTCAAATGGAATTAATAAACATACAATTTGTTTAGAAATTTTTTTTTTTAAACTTTTCATTAGTCGTAATTATTGGAGAGGAGCATACTGCTGACATAACAATTAAACCAAAAACATGAAAACAAATATATTTTTGTGGATTTGGTTTTACCTGAATATTCTTTGGCACATTTTCACCTTCCATCCCAGGAATATGAGGTCCTGTATGAGGTTTTGGCTCAAGCCAGAAAGACACCAACCATCGAATGACAATAACACGAGCCTTAATGAAAGGTTCCTTTGTGCAATAGATTGCCTCATTGGTTTCAGCATCTTTCTTAACTATTACGTAGTGTGGCTTTGGTCTCATTTGTGGTATATCTGTATGAAAATACAACATCTTTAAAATATAGGCAGAGAGCAAGATCTGCATAAGAAAGAAATCCTAGGACCATAACCAATACACATGAACTTTCAGAGGTGCAGTTTTGTTGCATTCACTGTTGCACCACTCATTCCAAGATGCACGGGAATGGATGCAACAGAGAAATTGCCAAGAACACATAAGACATCAAAATGTAAGACATTAAAACACTTGAATTTTCTCCTGAAGGGAGACAACACTGCTGGTCCAAAAGCCAGAAACTTATTTCTGCTATGTGGAACCTTTAATTTTTTATCTGAAAGTGATTTCTATAGCCTTACATTTCTGCTTACATTTTTTTCTATGTAAGTAAACACATTTCATTATCTTCAAGTTCTTTCAAACTACATTATACTCAATATTTAAAGATAAACTTCAGCAAATTCACTAGTTCAAATTTTCATTGAAAATTACAAAGTTGCAAATAGCAAAATAACTGTCAACTAGACTATGACCTATACAAGAAAACTATTTTCATATAAAACTAATATATTGACAAATCTCATCGTGACTACAGTGGGAGATATATAATTCCAAAATGCAAATGCAATAAACACAGCCTCTTCTGGCCCTGCAAAAGGATAAAGATGAATAGAACAGAGAAATCCTGCTGCAAAGCCATATGAGCTTTACAGCTTCACCTAGGGCCCCATTTGCACAGGCTAATTTTGCTGGACTTTGCTGCCAGACCACAGGCACGCATGTTTTCCTATGACTTAGCTGCAAGATGACTCTGAGGCAATAACTTCTATACTGGCTTGTAGGAATGTAATGAAGGATGCTTAGGGGGACATCAGCTGGCAGGAACTGTGATTGTTTGGGGACTAGAGCTGACAACTCCATTTTCACCATCCCATGATGGTTCAGAACTGTTCAGCCTTTCTGGTTCTCTGTTGTGCTAGAGTCATCGGTACTCCTGAATCTGCTTCAGAAAAAACCATGACAGTACTTAACCCAATGTGGATGGAATGGACATATGTGGTAAAAGAACTACAAACATGGGAGGACACATGGATAGCATTTTTTAATTGTGCATTTTTCTGTGACTTAACACTGCAAAATAGCATTTCTAGTTTTTACAGCCCAAGACATGGTGCAGAATAGTTCAGCATTACCATCATCAACCTGAAGCAGCAATGACACTTTCAAGTGCAAATGACATTTCTCTGAAAGTGGTATGCCAACCCACCGTAGTCCTAGTCCTACAGGGGTAAATACGAGATATACTCCAATATAAAAAGACAAACATTTGTGTGAGGACCGATTATAATACGTGCTCTCAGGACACCCTGATGCTAGTGTTTCAGTACCATGATCTATATCTAGTGACAGTAAAAAAAACCCCAAGAAACTCAAACCAAACAAACAAAAATCCAAACAAAAAAAAACAACTAGCAAAAAGATGGAAGCATGGCAAAATGATGGTCCTATCCATACAGATTGAACAGAGATGGTTGTGTCAGCACTGCCTTAACTCTTCTGTAGCCTGCAGTACATAAACAAGGGGAGTAGTTTTCCATGATTTTACAGGCCAACCAGAAAGCAGTTAAAGGATACTAATGATAAGAGTCAAAGAAGATTTTAAAAAGTCACACTGAACAATACAAAAGTATTGCCTGACTGTATTTTCCAAAAGCTAAGTTAAGAGTTGTTTTAAAGGATCCTGTGTAACTTTGCCAGTTTATGATGTTAGAATCCAAGAGGGACAAATCCGGACAGCAGTGAAGAAATAATCAACTGTTGTCTAAGCAATTATATTATGACTGCCTTTTTAAGGCATCTAAAGTGCACCCAGTGTGTCTGCCAGACTGCTGTAAAGATTTCCCTGTTACTATTACAAATACACAAGATCCAGCACCTGCACTGAGGATATCCACACTGGTCTATCTCAGTGGCATTTCAAAAGCCACATACATAAGCAGTGATAGACCCATCATGATGCTGCTAAACTGAGGAATGTTTCCTGTAAGAACTTCAAAACTTTATCCACATTTTTCAGTGAAAGCATTATTTTTAAAGGAAAGAACCCATGATTCCTGTGTACCATGTACCTAAGTACATAACAAACACACAGAATACTCTTTGACAAATTTACAAATGGTTTATTTACTGCAAATAATGAAACCCCAGTACATTGTTTTCATTCTGTGGAAAGCAGCAGGTAAGTAAGAAAATTTAAAATTAAGGTATCTTAAACAAGCATGTGTAACAGTATAATCTGTGAAAAATGAAGTAAATGCTTGGTAGCACAGCATTTAAAGATAGAAAAAGTTCTCTCTGGTATCTACTAGCATTCAGCAGAGCACAAAGGCTGCAGTACTGGCAGTATTTTCAGAAGGACTAAACATGCAGTAAACATGTTTTTGCAGCACTCTGTCTCCTCCTTGTTTGATGATAGCCTCTCAGAACATCCTCTTTCTTTAACATGTCTCAACAGCATTATGTGCTGTAGCTGCTCCTCAAATGTATCCTCCTTCCAGCTCTTCATGTATTTTCAAATTCTGTCCATCTTGGAAGAAGGTATCAAGGCTTCAGATGAGAACACAGACATAAAACCAAAGCAAAAGAGAGCTTGTTAGATGGACTCAAACAGCACAAGAGTAAATATTCCCTTCCCCCAACTTTCCATTTTTTCTTTCTGTTGTGTTTTGGGCTTTCCCCAGCCCCTACCCTTCCCCCTCTGGGAACCTCATGTGAGCTGATGACAAAAAGAAAAAGAAGCTGAAGGTGGTGGAAGACATACACAGGGTAGAAAGGGAACAGGCTAGCAAAAACACACTGCACACCTGTAAGCTTTGACCATGCCTAATTTTTAGACAATAAAGGGTTCATAAGGAATGAAGAGCTAAAGATAGCTGTAGGACAGCCCACATTAGTGTCTCCCTGTAAATGAAGGAGCCTATCTAAATGGCTTGGAAATGGCACAGAAAGGCACATAACTATGACAAAAGAAGCAATGCCCCTGGAATATTACTGTCATATCTGTAGCTCTTACTGAACAACTTCTAATTCAATCTCAACAGATACTTAACAAAGACTTTACAAACAAAAGAAACACTAAGGCAAAAAAAAAAATCCAAACCCCAAACCAAACATAAAAAAGCAAAAAAAAAACCAACCTCTAAACAAAACCAAACCAAACTTAATAAAAACCCAACCCTCCTCAAAAAACAATCTCATAGGCTTTTCTAATGCTGTATTCCTCTTCTAAGTCTCCAATACTTAAGAATTTGAAGGAGCCACAATACTTAGCCTTCTTGTAACTGGAATGCTTGGTGCTTGTTGCTGTAGGCAACATACTTATCAGGAAAGAAATCTCAGTCCAGCATACTGTCTCCAGTAAAGCCCTGTATCAATGCTGGCTTACTGAAACTACTGTTCTGATTTGTACCTCATGACTTCTCCTAAATTAAACATTACACCAGTAGCATGAGAACTGTTCTTAGCAGAAGGCTCAGTGCCCAAGTTTGCCCTGCCTTCTGCCTCAATGCTGTAAATTAAGAACAAGCACAGGATTATTTTCAAATAGGTTGGGAAGACGCATGCCAGAGAAGAACACCTTTGAGGAGAAAAAATTATTCAACTTACCAATGCTTATGTTGTTTTCATCACTGTATTGTTCCAAAACTCCTCATTATAGTTGCTTGCTGTGCACAGTCTAAGGCACTCACAGTAATTCTTGGGATCTGCGCACACTTCTTGTTTCTCATTGTCCTCTTCTTTACTAAGACCTTGGAAGTTTCTTGTTTATCATTCACAGAAAAACAGAGGACTACAGTAACACTTCTATGGAAGACTCAATCAAGATCTTCACAGAAAGAAAAACAGCATTTCCATATTTCTTGTTCTGGAGCATCAAGCAACAGTAGGTTTGCTTTCTCAGCACAGCTTACTGTCCCTCTTGTAGCTACTTTATCACTCAACTTCTTCGGCATCTGCACAAAAACTCTTATTCTACTGTTACTTATGGCTGTGTTTATACTGGTTCTTCTCCTGTAGATGAGAAAGCCCAGTGTTTGTCTTTCCCAAGAGAACATGGCTTTGACACAACCATCTCTCAAATCTAAATAAATGTACATGGACCAGAAGAAGCTAAGACCTTTTCAACAAACTTCCCTGACAGTCCAATTTTAGAATATGGAATTGTGCCTGGAGATCACTACTCTGGAGAGTCCTTCTGAGATGCTGCATCAGCAGATAAGATGAATGGTGATGTGACTGTGTGACTCAAGTGATGAAATGGTAACTTAAAGCCTGTGTACAAGGTATTGCTTTGCAAAGAGGAGTTTGAACTCTGTTGGCCTACAACCAACATGTGCATGGATGCATGCAAACCTGAGAGAACAAAATCAAGATTTGCAAACAACACTCTGGTTTAAAATGGGCTAAAATTCTGAGTAAACTCAGGTTTGCTTAGAAAACACTGAACGTTCCACTCTCTATATGGAAAGATACATTCTAGCACCATCAGCTTGGAAGACTGTGCTACACCCAAGCTTCTTTTTTCCTACTGCAAGCTCTTGATAAAATGCAGTCTGCACAAAAACCTAACTTTGCCCTGTCAAACAGGTGAACAAGCACTGTATAATCCAAACACTGATTCAGTACAGATAAAAACAAGACACCCAAAGAATAGCACACTAACACCTTTTATTTTGGCAAAAGTAGTTTCTCTTCAGAGCCCAACTGAGATCAGCAATGGTTACATTAGAGAAAGGTTTTACAAGAACATTTAATTTACCTCATTCAGGTTAACAGAGCAAGACTGATTCTAATGAAAGGGTCAGAGGCTTCCACAAAGAACTGAAAATCATCAACAGGAATCTTAACATGTTCTTTCATGACAAATACATTTGGAGAATGCCCTTCATGGGCAACGTGACTCAAGCCAAAAACTGCTTTGGTTTACTGTCTTGTTAGAGTTAGAAAGCACAATCACCTGTCTCAAACATTGCTAAGGCCACAGAAGGGAGGAATTTGTGACAAGGAGATGCTAATTGCAGGCCTGACAGAAGCTAGATCCAGTTAGCACATCCTGGTTACCACACTCCCTCTGTGCCAGACTGTGACAAGAAGCACCTGCTTATATGCATATCATCAGTCAAAGAAGTATCATCCCAAGTTATGGGAAGGTGGCATCTGTGGCCACCAGTGGCCACCAAAGCTCCCCCAAATACACCTCTGTGGACACCTGGAACCTGGACTGTATAAAGGCAGGACTGCTGTCCAGGTGTTGGAACCTAGGGGGAGCTTAACAAAGCTTAGGAAGAACCATGTATTACTGATAGTGGATACAAAAGAATGCAGAATTTAGGAGCCATAGGAACATTTGGCAGAAGATATGGAAGAATTTATTAAAACAATCTCAGCAATTCTGATGAAATCAGTTCCAGCTGGGTAAAAGGCGATTCCACAGGGGTATCACCAACCTAAGAAACCCACCATCCCAAAAGAAGAGAAAGACTGAACAAGCAGACTAATTAGCATAAGATGCATTTAACCAACAGAAGATGGAATAGTAACTAATAAGAGAACTGTATCACTTGCTGCCAATTAGCAATAACTCCTTTGTTTCTAAAATGCATAAATACTGAAGATTTGATTGTAAGCAGCAGACCTTGTGGAGGCAGCACCCCTTTCAGCACAGAACATACTAACAGATGAACAAACCAGGACCCGCTCCCCAATCCCAAGCCCAGGGTGAAGAAGGCCCAACAAGACACGGCTGGATCCATGGGTGGTGACCAGCTTCTGCTTCCACACTTTCTCCCTCCTTCTCCCTCTCTCCCTCTCCCTCTGTCTTTTCTTTCCCCATGCAGTCAATTTTACAAAATAAAGTCAAATGTTGAACCAGCATTTGGTCTTGTCCCCTTAATTTGGGCAGAGGCATCTCTCACTAAGCAGATCATAACATCGCTATTAGATAAAATGTAATGATTTTATCAGCTGTGTTAACACTTACCAAGTATAGGGTTATATAAGCTGGTCTCCTTACAGATGTTTGGGAAAATAGAAGGTAAGTAGTATTTCTTAAAATTTGAGAATAAAAATGAAAATCCCTTTTCCTGGTTTTCCTTGTTCTTCCATTCTAAACTCTTAACCTTAAAACAAGAATTTGGACAAAGTAAATATCTACAAGTAGAAGAAACAGGCAACTGATGAAATGTCCTCTTTTTAAGTTATTTCTTTGAAACAAAATCATATATATTTTAATAAACTATTTTAGAAAGATGAAACAGTAACTAGCAGGGAAATGTCAATGAAACAAACACCACTGTCCTCCAAAATATTGTTTCAAAATAAACTCGAACACATAAAATACTGAAACCAACAGAAATAAACCTGCTTTTGCAGTCATCTTGCCAAAGCAGGGAGTATGCCCAAATTGACTGTTTTTAATGAAACTGTTTCTGTATTTCAAAATGTTTAATAAAAAAGAGTAACTACCTATGGCATTCAAAATATTTCTTTGACAAATTCTTTTCAGACATTTTGAGAAGTGTCCATATAGTCATTATAATAGGTACTTGGATTCATTTGTGTAATTGGCAACATTAAACAAACAAATTTTTCCACCACAAGCAGCAGAAGATACAACTTTGAAGTTGAGTTACACAAATGTACTTGGATCGTGAGTGCTAAGCATTCCTCTTTATGAAATGTTTTCCTACATGGTAAGTAGTACCAAGCATGGTACGTGCTCCTGCAGAAATACAATATGCAGTTTCCCTTTGTTCCTGAGACTCCATCTGCCTGCAGAGCTAGGTAATCTACCAAGTCTATCATAAATAATATAAAGCAAGACTTCATTTTCTTTTTTTTTACTCAAAGGCCACAGCTCTCTTATGATCTGTTTTCAGGGCAACAGATGTCTAGGGCGGAATATATAAGCACATATTTCACCCCCAATATAACTCAACATATTAGCTGATATACATGTAACTTAGTGACACAAAGTCCTTTATCACAACTTAGTATCAAAGAACCTTGCAACTATCAGTGGCCTCTAAAGGGACTTCAGAGAACTACTTCAGCACTCACATAGTAAACAAGCTCTGTGACACCTGTCTCAATGACTTACTGGAATTTAGATATAATACTACCAATTTATCAAAGAAAAGGCAGCTGTCTTCAAAATTATAAGGGCTATTTTTCTTCAAAGTAAATAGCCAGCATTAAGCTTAACCTACAGATCACAAGTATGAAGATCTCTATTCAAAGTGGGAGATGCTGGAAGCAATAAAATGAGGCTGGAAATTATTCCAGCATGGCAAGTGCTCAGAGAAAGATGGAAAAAGGGAAGCCATGAAATATAGCTTTAACACATGTTATGGTTTAACATATATTTGTACACTGTCCATCTTCTCTAGTAAAACCCGCCTAAGTGTGAAGAAATACTTATCGGTACCCATCTGGGTTCTGAGGGACAAGTCTGGCCCAGAAGGCAGGACCCAGCAACACCTACCATGTCATGCAGCACATGACAGCTCAGTAGGTTCAGAAGCATCATGTGCTAATTGGCCAGCAAATCAATTACATAACGTGTACCAGCTGAGCCACAGTTTCTCACAGAAGCTGTTACTATGCCCCATGCTGGCTGAGATCATGGAATTGTCAAAGAGAACATGGTGTGTCTGAGTTGCACGCCATGGACTAAATACTCATTCAACTCTTCATTTTCTGCACACAGTTGATCCACTGGTTGAAGACAATCAGATAGGGAAGGGAAGATGAATGAGAAGGGAGCTGAAATCAGTACTGCTAGAAGTGACTGACAAGTCTTGTTTTGCCTCCATGCCACAATCTGATGGAAGATCCTGTCATAAAAGATCTAGGAATCTTCACACAGAAGACAAGGGAACATTTTTCTAGAAGAATTTGCTTTTTATAAAAAAGGGAGTGGCAAGGAAGGATTCTTCAAAACATCTTTATATGCATTTTCAGTGCTACAAGTAAAAAACTTACTGTAAAGGACAAAGAGGTGTTAATTGTTTCACACTTGTTTGCTTGAAAACTACAGAACGTACCTGAATTACCATGTATTTCAAAAGTGCTTCTAAAAAATAGCTTGTTAAATCTTCTTGTCCTTTATCTCCTGATTGTGGAGGAACAAGTGGAGTGATTTCTTCTATAGTCACTTGAGCTATTTAAAGAAAAATAGAAGTACATCTAACATTTAGACCATTTCTTCTCATGCGTAAACACCTACAAAGTTATGAAAGTAGAAATGCACTGCAGCAGCAGAGATAATTACAGGTACAACAATCCACCCATAGATTAATGAAAATCAGGAAATTTTAACTTCTAAATCACTACGGAACTAAGGTCTTACACATATAAAAAGCACAACAGACAATAAGTAGGTCATCTCTATGCACTTTTGGAACCTACTTGCCAAACCCAAATTTTTTAAAATTTTGTTTGGAATTTATGCAAGCAACAGTGTAACACTTATGCTACACAAATGCCAAATCTTTATATCTTTCACCATTTTCCCATTTAGCAGTTCATCAGTTACATTTCCTTTAAGTTTTACTATCTGTATCCTTCTTTGCCTCGACAGTGAAGCTAGTTCAGAGTCAATTTTTCTCCTGTTCCCGTAGTTAGATGTTCACATTTCAATCTTGGCATTCTGAATTTCTTTGCACACTGAATTTCACAATTCCAAAAATGGCTTAAGTAGGTAGCAAAATTTTTCGTGGCAGAGCTATCCTGCCACGAAATTCATCTGCTGTGTTCCAGCAAATTTAATTACTAGTCATGGAGACACTGCTTTCCTCTACAAGCAATAAGATACTCAAAGACTAAGAGAAGATGGAAAGAAGGCAAACACAATATTCAGGGGAAAAAGTGTTCAAGTTTTCAGTCCCATTTATGTGAATGCACAGTTTGCACTTACATTCAAAGACCCCATCCAATTGCAAATCATTAATAAATGAGCTTCAAATCCCACTATCAAGAATAAATTGAGTTAGGAGGCACTCAATACTGAAGTGTACTAAGAAAAAAATTGTCCTAAGAATCATCTTAAAAGAAAAATCATCCTCACTCTATTGATTAGGGCCAAGATAATGACCTTACCATTAAAAATAAACAAACGAACAAAACTCCAGAAAGTATAAAAAACTCATCTCAGAATGCTCAAGCTTTTCCACTCATGCAAACCTTTAAGACCTCAAGTTTTGCAATTTACAAGGTCTGTTTCTTTTTGAAGATTCCAAGTTGCAAGAATACCACAACTTTAATTACCTGGTCATACACAGACACATTTGTCCTTACACGTTGGCCTAACAACCTCTCATTCTCTTGAAGGCCACACCAGAAATATCTTTGCAGAGCCTGCTCCCTGGAGGATGAACAAAGCCAGTGCAAGTGCTCGACACAAGCAGAATTCACCTGTGTAAGTCTGCAGTCGATGCAGGATCCTCTTGCAGTTTTTAAGAATTACACACAATTGGTGACTTCATTTTCACCACTATGCATTAAGCTACAATAACCTACTCGGAGGGAAAAACCCCAACAACCACAAAAAACAGCTAATTCTGAACAACAACAAAATAGACAGAAACTGTTACAGAAGAAGACCTGACAAACTGCTAAGAAACTCATCTCAGCTCCATTATCTCCCTGGGTATGTATGTATGTCAGCTACTTCAACTTGCCTTGTCTGTGACAAGATTTGAATTATGTCAAGAATTGAGTAATAATACCAAATTACTTACTTTCTTGGACATTAAGGGGAGGGTTAATGAGATTATCTAGTGTTCGGGGGCCATATTCAGATTGTGGTGATGAAAATCCAGGAATCAAGCAAGAAAACATCCATAATTGTTCTCTACTACAGTTATTCTGAAGTGCTTGGAGCCACAAAAGAAAGAGACGCACACCCTCTCGACGTATCTTAAAGGAAAAAACATGGAATAAGTTATCTTGTGCCAGAACAAACAAAACATTTGTCCTGGAGGGAGAAGGAGAAGGGGAGAGATTAAAAAAATGAGGACAGACAGTATGACCCCCAGCAATCAGCAGAGTGAAACTAACACATCTGCTGCTCGTGATGAAATGCAAGGGCAAGCCTGGCACCTTCACTGCTCTTTGCCTCAAAGAATTTCTCACAGGGGTTTCTCTGAAAGAAGAGAAAGAAAACCAACACATGGAAAACCAATCGCTTGACTACACCACTGCAAGATGCCACAAGAATTTTTCAGAAAACACAAAGACCGACAAAATTTCTAAATATGTTCATTAATTGTAACAACAGAGTGAGTGAGTTCTCTGTATCAGAAGGGCCAATTCTGCCTTCTTCCATTTCTCCTTCAAGAAAGGTAATAGAGTCCTAGAGCACTCCCTTCTTGGCTCTCATACTGGAGAAGTTCAGTACCAGAGAAGCCTGCAGGTGGCTTACAGAGGAGTGGTGCAGCTGTTTTGTCCCAACCATTTAAATTACTCTACACACCAGCAGGCCTCCCTGGCATAGATAATCTTCCACCTCCAAGGTAGTCTGAGTCCCAGAATCAGTTTCCTTGACCTAACAATGAACAGTTAATACTTATTCTATGTTAATACAAAATCCTTTAAACCACTGACTACACTATATAAACACATTACTACTGTGAGTAGTTTTACTGAGATAAAGCTGATGATTTGGAATCATTCTTTCATGACACACAAGTCATGATCTGGTTCTCATTCCTGGGCTTTTACTGTAAATATTTGCCCTTATGTTCTTATTTGTACTTTCAAGTATTGTAGACAAAATTGCATGCAACTTTTTGCAGTACCTTTAATGAATTTCCAGTGTGAAGAAGCTTCTTTAAAATCAACCCTAAAAAAAAAAAAAAAAGAGAAAAAATTTGTTTGCTTTTGTTCTTTCTATATTAAGTAAAATGTCAGAGTTCTCGGTCAGACTTGATAGTCACTTTTGAACAAGTCCTTGGCAATCTCCAATTTAATCTTGGTGACCTTGATACCTTCAAGCAACTGACTCAATGCCAGAAGGAAAAAAAATCAAATATCACCTTTCATGGCCCACTCATAGAATATTTTTCCCCAAAGACTTTTGAGATGTGTACATTAAATCAAGTCATCACAATGCATAAAATCAGCATTCCCCATTTACAAATATCTCATGTCAGTTTTTAAATGTATTGCTAAGAGAAAGAAAATAAGGAAAAAAAATATTTAGAACTTCAAACTTTTCACCTGTCCTTGTTCTTTCTCAGCCCCTCTTCTATTTCTATATTCCCAAATACAAATCTATCCAGAAGAGTATTCATTACATTGGCAGGGGTTTATGTCTGTTTCTTTTATTTTCTTTTTTATTTTCCTTCACCTAGCTTGCAAAATTCTCTAGACCATAACCCCCGTTAAGCTACTTAAACTGTAAGGAAATGAGTGGCATAGTAGCCACGAAATGGTAGCTACTAATAAAAAGTAAAATGAAAGGGAGAGGAAAAGAAAATCAACTTACCAATACTATGAAATTGCCACCTCTGATGAATCCTTTCAGGAAGGAGTTGTAAAATTTTCTATAAAAAACAGAACCCAAGGATGTATGTTGCAGATATCACCTTGGAAGACCAAACAGCCCTTTCACAAGGCCACAGATCAGAAGCTGAAGCAACAACTTAGAAAATTCCCTCAATGCTTTCTTTGGAAGCATTGTTGTCCTTTCAAGGTGACCCCATTCCTAATGCTAAGAAGCCCAAAGGGTCTGCCAGCCTGTAAGTCCTGCACTGGAGACTTCAGATGTTACTGCAGGTCCTCTGGTGCCCCTACCACTCTGAAGGACACTGCTGCTTACAGCATAGGGAATGGAATGGGATCAGTGTCTGTCTCAGCTGCTCTGCTTCACAACAGATTGCATTAAGTTATTCCACCTTTCTAATGGCTTCAGTTAGGATGTTCAGCTGTCAACTTGCCTCTGTGGCACAAGCAAACATGTGCTTCAGCCTTCTCAACTGAGGGGTCATGAGCTACAGCAAAACAGTGAAGACAAGATGTCTATAAATACAATGATCATCTCCAGAAACAAGAAACAGAGCACAGTTAGTAATTCCAAATCTACCCTGCAAGGCTTGCAACACTTACACCAGAGGTTTTTGCAACTTGTAAATAACCTGATTTTTCCTGGCTGTGGCTCTCCAGCACACCGTGCAACTGCCTCCAAAGCACAGACCACCTAATATTCCTTTATGCAGGAACTAGTGAACAAACGAACTAGCTCACTTTCACATTCACCCATGTATCTCACAGAGGTAACATGCAATCAAAAGATCAAAAATATCATGACTAAACAGAGATCACCTTTCTATGAATTTCAATGTGTATAATACATGATGGGGAAATACCACCACCAAAGAGTAATCAACTATCTAGAGACACAGAAACATCTTTTTCCAGTTAAGACATCTTGCAAAACTGCAAGTGAAATCTTTATTTTTAAAACAAAGCACATAAATTCAGCTCTATGCAAAAGTAAGAAGGAATGCAGTTAAATGCAAAGTATTTACAGACAACTGTAGAATAATAGGACTTAAAGCAAAAAAATATTCAAAATATCTTACCTCAAAAATAAAAAGAATAGAATCTAATTCTTCTCTCTGAGACTTGTGACCTAGTTGCAAAAATAAATAGTTTAAATAGTTAAATACAAATAGAAGATGCACTTTCATTATCAAAACAAAGATCCTTAAACGTGTAAAATGAAAACCTGCATTTATACAACCATAGCTTTGCACTGCTTCTGCAAATAAAAATTATACTCCACAAATACAGCTACAATTTGCATAACTTCCTATTATGGCATTCACAACTGGGAGAGGTGAAGTTACACAATATCTTATTAAAGAATAATTCTGCAGAATACAAAGTATAACACCTTAAGAATCCTCACTTTGCAAGAGGGCAAACACAGTCATTGGAGAACAAACTCTTTTTGCTCACCTCCACTGAGTGTGTATCTCACTGCTCTGCCTTCATTTGCCAAGTTGGTTCTTAGACATATTCTGCATGGCTAATGCTGCTAATTTGTGACCACACAGAGCTTTATTTATAGCACCCTGCTTTACTTCATAACAAAGGCACAAGCCATCAAGACAAAAAGAGTTCTGTCTGAAATGCTTACCTTTTTGTTTAAGGCCCACTTCAATAGTCACAAAGTTTTCAAAGAACACATAATATATATGTGAAAAATGTTGGTCGAAAAACTGTTTGAGATCAATTGATTCTGCATTATCTGAAAAACAGAACAGAACATTGTTAATATTTATTTCAAATGTTCAGAGTCAACCACTACATATCATTATCCAGTAGTAAGAAATGAAGATATTTAAAAGAAAAATTATTGGTTTTTAAATTAATAACTAAATAATTAAAGAAACTGTTGAAGTTTTCATTCTTTACTCTGAGGCTAATTCAGAAATTCAGTATGGCATGCCATAAGCGCCTAGTGAATTTTAGAACAGGGAAGGAGCATCTTCTTGCACATCCATTGTTGGCATGACAGTAATGCCAACAAAAGCCAGTCATGAACCTTAACTCCATCAGGACTAGCACTGTACAGATGAATCTGGTTTCAACTATTAATTTAATAGAAATAAAGCTCGTGACACTGCCCAAACTCTACAACAGAAAGACCATCACAATCTCCAACTGTAATTACTAAGCACAACTAAGCTTACTAAAGAAAGTGGAAGGAAGACGTTAAGTGAGGAACACATCTGCTCTGGAGATAGATAAACTGGGAGGATGCAAACAGCAGCACTGGATTCCCACTGATGTCTTCTTATTCCCTCCAAGTTCCAATATGCACTTTACTTTCTAGTCTGGCTCAGTCCCTCGCACTCCTTTGATTGTGTGGTCTAGGAAAATCAAAAGATGGGATCCCAGGGATACCCTGAGGCAGAAACATCACTCTAAGTATAGGGGAATGTGCTTTCATGTGTACCCCAGGAAGCTTTTCAGACTCTCTTCCCACAACCCTCTAGATGGTTTTCTGCAAATTCCTGATAAAGAAATACACAGTGATTTATCCAGAATTATTTTAAAGTGATCACTTTAAACAATCAAGCATTAATACAAACTGTCTAGACACTCCCTGTCCTGTTATTCAACTACATAAGACCTGAGAAACTCGGTGGACAAGACAATACCATGGAAGCACAGAGGAACAGGAAGACAGCATTTTAAATGACAAAATGCTCCTCTTTCAGAATACTGATGTGTAGCAAACAAAAGCAAAACATGAAGGTGAGGCAAACAAAACCTTTATACCCATTCACCAGCTGTACACACTGAAACTCTTTCACTGTAGATGCTTCTAAAAAGCTCCTTCTAATTCTATATTGGACCACAGAGCGTTTAACCCTTTTTAGAGGTTCAAAGACATCAATCTTTAGCATTTCACATGACTGGATATACAAGTGGTAGAGTATAAAGTCAGGAACAATGAACTGAAAGGATGGCCAAAAGCATGGCATACTTTCAGTTATGCTTTCTTATATAGCTCTAGAGGACTATTAACTCAATTTTGACACAAACGTTGCTGAAAAAATTTCCAACACAGATTTAACTTTTGCCGTAGCACAGCATTCTGCCAACATCTTGCATAATGAGTGTAGCGGAGCCAGGGTGCTCTTGGAGCAGATAGTGCTATATCAGCATCCAAGATCAACTCTTAAGGAAGGCAGCTCAGCTGGAATAAACAGTGGTCCAGAGCAGCAAGCATGGGCCTGAGCATCCACAGGCTTACCAAACCCTGGGTTTGCAGAAATTGCCACACCACCTACAGATCAGTAGCTGAACTGCTACAGTTTAGAAACACAAATGTTAAAGGACAACAAAAACCAATTCCACTTCAAACAAGCCTGAACGATGATTTTCAGTTGATCAGGGAATGCACACGAAATAGAGCTGCCACTAGAGCACAGGCACAAGCATTACAACCACTTCCACTCATGGGCAGAGCCCTAAGTGAGTCCTAGGCTAGGGACAAGAAAATACTAGAAGTTTGAGATGGAAGGATTAAAGAAAAAAAATTTTTTTCTTTAAAAAATAGCAAGGATTTAGAAAGCAAGGATTGAAGCTTTCAGGAGAAAGAAGGGTGACAGAAGATATCTTGTGGTCCATATGTTTATAGGACTGTACAGGGATTGCACATAGACAGCAGTGGAATGGCTCACTCAATGCACAGCTGCAGAAAATACTAGTTCCAAATACTGAAGGGATAGGAAGCAGTTAAACAGGGTCTCTTCCAATCAAAACACAGCAATGCTGCATTTTTGTAGGCATGTTAAATGTTTCGTTTCCTGAAACGGGCCCTCATTCTTTGCTCAGACATGGGTCAGCTCTGAAGCAGACCAACAGAAAAATCCCAAACGCCTTAACTGATGCATTCTTTTAAACACTCAATCTTAACACAATTGTCAGTAATTTTTGGAGACGCTATTCCTAAATTCTTCAGGCAACAAACTGAAGGCTTGTCTACATAACCAGCTGAACAGTGACTGTAATTTTACTACATAACTGCCTATGCACAACTGGTACTGTGGTAAGACATTCTGCCTTTCAGTGAAGGCAAAGTGGAATTCCAGAAGTTCGTCCTTTTTTAAATTTTTTGTTAGTTTGTTTTGTATTTATTTAAGAAAAATGTGTCAAACACCTCAAAAAATGCTTGAAGGAGCAGAGGTAGACCTGTATTATTACCACTAACACCCAATTAACATTAAAAATATACCTTCAAAATACAGTCATAGCTTGCAAGAGTAGGAGAGTCAAAAATTCCTTGACTTTGCAATTCCTATAGCAAATGCATTTTACTCTGATTCCTTTCTAAGATCACACTTGATAGCAAAATCAAAAGCAAGTTTTTAAAATTGAAACCAGTTAACAACAATTGTATTCTGTAGTAAATACTATTGCTTCAGATGGAAGAAAATATAACATTTTATTTAATGGGAATTTTATTAAGTGAAAACAATACTTTTTAAAAATCCCACTGACTCCTTTTGTTAATACTGAAAACCAGCTTTCCTCCTAAGGGAGGGAAAACAGTTGTTCATCTGACAGGCTTGCCACCTACAGCAAAAGGGAACATCTGCTCATCATCAAAGGACACCTACAGTGATTCACTATGCTGCTGGTGCAGAAATTTGGAACCTTGCATTTGTTGAGAAGTTTGAAATTCATTATTAATACCCTGACATGAATTATGGCAAGAAGGAGAAGGGCAAAAAAAAGCAGATACAGCATGAAGATAATTATACAGATCTTAAGAGGGCTTGATCTGGCCACATCACTCCATTTCACAGCTTTGTCTATGCTGAACACAACCCACACAACTAATGCATGGAGAGAATCTGCTCTCCTTGATTACTGTACCATTAAACTTCCAGTTAAAAGCTGCTGTTGCACCTTCCTTCCTTAATTACGGATTTCCTAATGTCTCTAAAATATTCAGTTTACCTCTGTCCTTGCTATCAGCTAAACAAGCAGCTCCTCAATTCTCATGTCATAGCCATTTTCTCCAACAGCATCTCTCTCTCTCTTCTCCATGCTCTCTCAAAGTATCATGCATGTTGCACAGAGGTAAAAGTCATTTCCTCTACAAACAGCATATCCTTTTCAGACAGTCCTGAACTGAGAATTTGCAGGAAGTTGCTCCTCTGCTTTGGCTAATTAAGTATTTTGTCTTTTATAAGAAGAGAGACATAGCCTTTTTTAATGTGAAGTGGGATTAAAGAGAAACAGGCTTTCCTCTACAATTTCCAGTGCATTCCTATTTCTTGATTTTAAACAAATTAATTTGATATTCTTCTATCACAGATCATGTAACTAACACAAACTAATGTACTCCTTGTGTTCTTGCTTCTATGTCCAGACTGGGGAGGAGGGAAGGATTCAGAAATAGACCTGGCACCATTTGAAGTAGCTGGAAAAGTTCCTCAGAATTTGAAAGGGAAAAATTGGATACTACTGTATTCCAAAGAGAGGTAAAAACTGAAGTTTCTACTGTACAAAGCATAGTTTCAGTACACTAAAATCCAGTTTTTCAGCAGTTCATGAAAGCTGTTTGTCAAGAAAATGCAGTTTTCTTCATGCTTTACAACAGCAAGAAACATAGATCTTTGCTGTTTTTTTCCTTAATAATTTTCTCTAATTTAAAAACTGGTACAAATTGGATCTCCATACTAACTCTGTGTTCAAGGGTGCTTTTTTTTTGTTTTGTTTTGTTAGGGTTTGTTTTAAGTTTGACGTTTTAATTGTTTACCTTTAAAGTTGTGTCCTTTGCAGAAAAGTACTAGCTTACTTGCTTTACAATATTTTAATTTCACACAGTATTGTGTCTCTTTGTGCTTACATGTCATTTTCTCCCTAAAACAAAAGAAACCCTGCCAAAACAGATTTTAGACATATATTTAAACTGTTCTGAAAAAGAACTTTCATCAGTTCACACTGCATTGCAGAAATTCAAGAAAACAGTTGTATCATTACAGATTAAGTTGTGGCAAACCTTATGTTCTATTTTAAGAGTTTTAGAATGTAATACTATGCTTATATGTAAAATTGTCAGAGCACTTAGTATAATGAAAACATTTTCCTGTCTAATTCCAAGACTTGCTGGCTTTTAAGTCACTTTCCCTTGCCCTTACCAAAACCCAAACTGACAACTGCAGCAAACAATGACCTGGAACACGTCCAGAATTCAGGATCTATTTCTGTAAAGCAGAGGCCTGCTATGGACTGACACAGTCAGTATCAACTCCTGTAACAAACTGGTGCCACCAGAAAGCAAAGGTTTCCATGTTCTCAATAGATAATTAAACTTATTAATTCTTAATTCTCCATGCTGAAATATTTAAGGGTTTCTTTAGAGCAAAACAGTAGAGAGATTTGGTTACATAGGGATTGTCCCGAATAGAAAAGCATGTAACTGAGAAAGGTTAAGTGGAAAACCTCGGGAACTAACTGGTGGCTCTGGCATAGTTAACAGACTGTCAGAGTGAAAGAGCCCTGATAACAGACCACAAAAGCAAATCTATTACACAAAGGCTTTACATTAGCCCTTACTGTTTCAGATCTAACCAACAGCTATTTAGCAAAACCATTTTTTTAAAAAAGGTAATTTTGTCTAAGAAAATATTCTTGAAAGTTTTTGTACTGAAAAAAGAATATAACTTAAAGAAATCTTCTAATGGACTTCTATTTTGCATCAGACAAGTCTGAATTCCTGATCAC